ACCCCGTATATATCCGATAATGTTATCATTATCGTATTAAGCTGCGCTTAATTAAAAATGCGGAATATCTTTTTCTTTTCAATTATGATGTCATTAATCATTACCAACTTAATTACTTAACTATTTTCAAAACATCGCCTGTATGTACATTGCAATAAACAGCTAACTGAAATACCTCATTAATTAAAATAACCTAAGTATGAGTCTCTAGTCACGGAACTACAAACGTAGACCGGAACATCTAACAGTTTATACAACTCAACTCAACAGTACAAACAACATAGTGGCATGGACAACTCTCATGCTCACCCAAATAAGGCAACAAAGCCCAACATAAGTCTCAACTCAACAGCAACATAAAGATAAAGGTGGAAAACATAAACAACATCTAATCCAGCCATGCTAGCATAATATGAACAACATTAAACATCAACTAAGCTCTGGCCTGCTGCCACCAGAGGCATCAGTCCTCATACTACCTGAACCTGAAATAAGCATTCCCCAAACGTGGGGTGAGATCTCTAAACAAGAAATCTCGGTAAGGCAAGGGGTCCTCAAGGATCTTCCTCCCCAAGCTTACTTACATGTGCAATATAAGTTCAAAAGCAGTTTATCATCATCAGTTCTAAAATAGTGCAATGCAGCAGATAATCATGTCATGTGTGTCAATTCTATTCTACTGGTCAGAGAAATGCAGGATTTATATACACCAAATACCCACACATAATGCAAGACGCCACTTGCATCCACCTCGTATCACCGTCTTGTATGACGCCACATACTCAGGCTTACCGTCAAGATGGAACAACACATGCATATTAAAAGCTATTACACATAAAGCTCAACAACATTTCAAATATAAGTAAATACCTTTTTTGGTCCTCAGCAAATTTTATGATGCCCGTTTTAGTCCGTAGCAAATAAAAAGGCCCACCGTGGTCCCTAAGAAATTTAAAATGGACATCTTTTAGTCCTTTTAGGGACTAATATGGGTCTTTTTTAAATTTGTGAGGGACCACGATTTCAACTAAATGGGTCCTTTTTGAATTTCTTAGGGACCACAATGGGTCTTTTTATTTGCTAGGGACTAAAGCGGGTATCATGAAATTTGCTGAGGACCAAAAAAGGTATTTACTCTTCAAATATTCAAAGCATGTAACACAGCATGCATATAACCATACCCCCATGGGACATGGTGGAACCACAACATGGCTAAACCGAGGACACGAAAGCTTACCTTGCAGGCTAACTATCCAATGCCAAGAGTCCACAGCTCAAAGTCCAAACACAGCAGAATCACAATCTGATATGGACCAATAATAAATCAATAAACATGCACTACAAGCATTCAACAAAAGACAACGCCTTTCCTTTTACGTTTTACGTCTTAAGGCTCACACAAAGCCACAAGCCCTTAATCACTTGATTCTGACTTAGTTCAATTAAAATAGAAGTTTAACTCCATCAATCTAGGGTCCACAAACCCCCAATAGCCTACTGTATGAACAGTGCAGCTACTGTTCTTCGAAATCACAGAATATCCGGATATCAATATCCGGATATCTCACTGGCAATATCCGGATATCCATATCTGGATATCTATAGCCGGATATTCATATCCGGATATCAATATTCGGATATTTATCGACCAAATATCCGGATATTTCGCGACAGAATGCAGTTTCTACATTTCGCGAAGATATCCAACAAAGGTCCAACTTTTACCAATTAAATGCGTTCAAGACTCTATTTTTAGGTCTATACAGGTTCATACACATGTTAGTTACCTGCTTAACCCATTAACATGCAAAGACATCACCTTTAAACCATTAAAACTCATGATCAAGGTTAGGTAACTCACCCCAAAGTTTAAAACAGAGAAAAGAGTGTTGTTGGAGCTCACCAACAGCTCCCCAAGACTGACTATACACAGAGCACGAAATGACACTTCCAAGGTTGGTTCTTTCTCTTCAAAGACCACCCCTTTGGACCTCAAAATGGTAGAACAAAGCTCCTACCACTCAACTCTCAAAGGTCAGCTCCCCCACACCAACACACAGAGGCTGGACACACAGAAAAGACACCCCTTTCACTCTCACAATGATAATCACAAGTGTTTACAAGGAAGAGGAAGGACGAACCAAGCAAAAGATGAAAACTTGGCTCACTAGAGATGGAGGAAGACAATGGAACAGTAGCAACTGACCAGCCACTCCAACCAGTCACGTAGCAACAGAAAAATACCTAGGGTTTTGGGCCAACAAGCCTATTTATAGCGGTTTAACACTTAAACACACAGTATTAACTTTAATTGCTACGCTTAGCATTTTAATCCCAAACTCAGGATTCTTAACCTACTAAAAATTACAAGAATTATCATATTTTTCTTATATTTTTCGGAGCACCTTTTCGGTACGCGCTTTTCATAGCCAGTACCAGTTTCTGGCACCAGTTCTCATTATTTTAACTTGAAACTCGTTTTACAAGTCCTACATGTTATTCTAGTAATTATCATGCACTTATTATAATTTTTCGGGACACTTTTATACCGACTAGCAGAATCGGTATCTGCACTTTTCGTCAGAAAAGCAACTTTCAGCATTATTACTCACTTACTATAATTATTAGAGCCTCATAATAATTATTAGGGTCAATTATGGAATTATCTCATTAAACTCATAATTAACTGATTAATTTCCTTAATTAACGGTGCGAGTTCTTACAGTAGTATTATTGTTACTGTTAAATGTGCTTCTTTTGGAAGTTCTGGTTTGAGATCCAAGTTGAAATCTATCTCCACTTCACCTAATATGTGTGTTATGTGTAACATTTTCTGCATTTTCTTTTTTATTTTCATATGCTATATTTTGGTTAATGAAAGCTTTGGCCTTTTTGTCACCCTTTTGCTCTCTTTTCATTTGCATGGCTGTGTTTCTCTTTGTGTAGTGGTTTCATATAGAAAAAATGTGTTTGCTCTAACTTAAAAGATTCACTTTTTGGGGAAACTTGAAATTTATCTCCACTTCACCTAATGTGCGTGTTATGTGTAACCTTTTCTGCATTTTCTTTTTTATTTTCATATGCTATGTTTTGGTTAATGAAAGCTTTGGCTTTTTGCCACCCTTTTGCTCTCTTTTCATTTGCATGATTGTGTTTATCTTTGTATAGTGGTTTCGTATAGAGAAAATGTGTTTGCTCTAACTTAAAAGATTCACTTTTTGGGGCAACTTGGTTGCAATCTTTTATTTTATTTTTTAAAAAAATGTAGTTAAAAGCATTGTCTTAGTTAAGGCATTTTTTTTTAATTATTGCTTTAAACTACTTTTTATGTCTATTGGACCCGATCAATAGTACATTTTTTTCAATCTTTCAAATGTTGTTAAATGTTAATATTTTGGTAAGAAATTACCTAAATAAGTTCCTACGAGATAAATCGGTAAAAAAAAATATTGATATTATGCAAGACAAAAAAATTAATTTTCGCCCCTTCTCCCCTTCATTCCTGGCTCCGCCACTGCTTATAACTGCTAACAATTCTAACTACCTATTCTAACTTCCTAAACTTTCTGTTATAGTAGTTGTAACTGCCTAACAATTATGACCTTGCTTCAAGGGGAGATGATACATTAACGAAGGGTAAAATTGAAAAATAAATATAATTTTTTTAAAAAGCTGACATATATAACTTACAAAAAACTTCTCTTATCTTTTTTTTTTCATCATTATAAAAAAAGAAATTATATTTAGTTAAATTTCTATTTATAAGGAGAACAAAAACTAAAAATAAAAGCTCTCAAACATGCACCTCATATCCTCTTATTTTAACAAAAGTATGTGTATTCTTGCATTTTGGTAAGGGAAATTATTTGTTATTTTAAAGGATAAATTTATATCCTTTTACCCCTTATAACTATATATTTTAGAAAATACATAGTTATAATATTAAAGTTACTTTTTTTCTCTATTCAAAAACTAATTTATCATAAATTTATTAGCTGAAGTGCATAGGAAAAAAAATAACTTTTATATTATAACTATGTATTCTCCAGAATACATAATTATAAAAAATAAAACAACATAAAATTATATCCTTTAAATCTACTCGTACTAAACCTTTTCGGTAAAATTGATAAAAGTCGATCGTATAGAAACTCTTTTACTGTTTTTCTCGTATTTGGCAGGCTAGGTATAGAAGCCAAATGGAGGTGTAGAGATGAGGTGGCAGAACTAAAGTTATATAAGGATATTTTTAATATAATTCCGGACCACAATATATTTGGTGATTCTTTATCAAAATAGAAAATATTTTCTTTCTTTTATATTTCAGTTTTCTTTCTAAATTTTCTTCTAATCTTTTTTTCTTCTTATTTTTGGAAAGGGAGCATAAACTCCCGATCCACCGAAAACAAACTCAGTTATATGAAAATGGATCCTCTCATGTGTAATTTAACATGATCATGTCATGTGAAAAAATCTTAACCATTAATAATTAAATCAACGGTGATGATTGTGTATGTAAGGTATCAGATGCATATACAGAGAACAAGAAAGAGAGAAAAGCTAAAGATGATTAAAGAGAATTGTATTGAATGAATGAATCACACTGAGATTACAGATCCTTATATGAAAGGATTCTGTTATCTTTAACAAAATATATAACTGAAATAGTTACAGTTATAACTAACTTAACTAATCTAATCTATTAGTTATATTACTCTATCATCCCCCGCAAGCAGAGCAGTGGAGAGAAGAGAAACTCGAAGCTTGTTGCGAAATTCAGTAAACTTGATGTTTGAAATTGGTTTAGTGAGACCATCAGCTACTTGATAAAGTGCAGGAATGTGATGAATAAGAACCTCCTTGGTGAGAACTCTTTCTCGAACAAAAAACAGGTCCAGTTCGAAATGCTTGGTTCGGGAGTGAAATAAAGGATTGGCAGACAGCATCACGACACTTAGATTGTCACAGTACAATATTGGAGGTTTAGGAAGGGGAACTTTTTACTCAGAAAGCAATGAACGAAGCCAAGTGAGTTCTGTAATTGTAGAAGCTATGCACCTATACCCAGCTTCAGTGCTTGATCTGCTAACCACTGGTTGTTTCTTAGAGGACCGGGAGATTAAATTTCCACCAAGGTAGATGCAGTATCCAGAGGTGGACCTTCGATCATCTGGGTCTGAGCCCCAGTCAGAATCACAGTAGGCAACGAGATGAGAGTGAATCGAAGGAGAGAATTGAAGACCATAAGATGCAGTGCCAGAAAGGTATCTGAGAATTCTCTTTACAGTTTTCCAATGAGTATCTAAGGGGTTGTGCATAAATTGGCAAACTTTGTTGACACAATAAGAGATTTCAGGTCGAGTTATTGTGACATATTGGAGTGCACCAACCACTAACCTGTATAGGGAGGGATCATGGAAGGGAGAGCCATCTGTGGAGGAAAGTTTTAAGCCCGATATCATTGGTGATGGCATTGGTTTGCAATCTGCCATATGTGCTTTGTTGAGCAGATCAGCAATATACTTTGACTGATTGAGCAAAATTTGGCCAGTGGGAAGCTTGTGAGCTTCAATTCCAAGGAAATGATGAATGTGTGTAACTTTCTATCCTTATATTTTTCTCTCTCCTCTCTTATCACCATTAACTCACTCATGTATGGTTATGATTGATCCACATAACATGATCATATTAATTAGCACATGAGAAAATCCAGTCCCCAGTTATATAGGAGACAAACACATGGGTGGACCCTATTAGTTTACAAGGAAAAAGCAAAATTGCCCCTGCCTTATGTCTTGAAGAAAGGTGAGTCATACGATGAAATCAAATCAAATGGTGGAGAACTCACTACAAGATCCAAAATAGAAATAAGTATAAAACAGAATCTACAGAACTTATGGGTCTGTTTGATTGTGTTTTGATTTTTTTGTTTTTAAAACTGTTTTGTAGAATAATTACGGAAACAGTTGTTTTCTATGTTTTTTTTGTTTTGAAAGTTAAAAACAAAAACAGAAAACAAAAACAACTCAGACGTGTTCTCTAAATTTGATTCTAAAAATAAAAAACAGTTACAGTTTTTAAAATTTTTTTTTACAAAATAGACCTTATCAAACGAGTTTTTTTGTTTTTTTTGTTCTGAAAACTAAAAAATTGTTTTTGAAAACAGTATTCAAACAAAGCCTATGTTTCTTTCCCAATTTCTACTTCTTTCGCATCTTTTTTCAATTCAGGGAGAAAAAAATAGAGCTTGAATTTTAGATCTGAAGCTTTGCTTGAGGCATGAGGAATCTGCGTGGAGGGAAGTATTTTGCGATCTGTGGAAGACAACTTGACTATATTGGAATCATCTTCTTATTTCAAAATTTGTGAAAATCTCGTAGTTGTGTGAACACTATGCCTGTAAATTGTTGTCAATTGTAATCGTGGATATGTTTAGCTTAATTGAATTTTTGTTCCTCTGTTTTTGTTCATTTTACAATATGAGATAAATTTCTTTTAAATTAGGTTGAGAAACTCGAAAATGTGAAACTTTACTTTTGTAAATGTAACTCAAATCAATTTGTTCTCTAGAGTTTTTCGGTACAAGTTTTATTTTAAATCTGGCCAACTTTTAATGATCACTTATATATAATTTCTCGTAAAACAATAGAATATGACTTTCTAATGAACAGTGTGCGGAAAGATTAAGGATGTGTATTGAATTATGATTTTAAAAGATTTCTTTGAGATAAAAAAATATTATAAATTTTATAAAATTATTTAGAATTGAAAAGACTTTAAAGACTTTTTAAAAGATTTTTTTTACAATCAAAACTTCTAATAGAATTTATAAGATTTGAAAGTAGGGTGTTTGTTATCAGGATTGTTTATCAACTCTCGGAAAAACATGCTAAGGAAAGCCAGAAGCCCAGGTTTAGTTGCCAAAAAGTTAAAAGTTTTTCAGATAATTTTGTTTCCGGAATTTTGCAATTTTGTGCAAAGTTGTGTACGGATACCATCGTGACAATACCATAAATTAGTTGGAATTTTTGCGAGCCCGGGGAAGTTAAAAAAAAATAATGATTAGGAAGACCAAATTAACTCTGTGTTTTGTACTATCCGTGAAGTACCATATCAGTTTCTTCTCTCTAAGTAACATTGTTATAATTTTTGAATGAAAAAGTAAATGGTGAGGTTATTTTTGTAAAATAATCTCACATTCTCACTAATATTTTACACTCAACCAAACACATACTCAGTAAAATTAACTAAATATTTTCCGAAAAATATGATCCTACCAAACAACTTTTTACTAACATTTCAGTAAAAATATATTTCTCACTATATTTCCGAAATTTATAATTCTCGGATAAAAAAAATTTATCTTCTACCAAACGTCACGTAAGTAAAACAGCACAAATTTAACAGTTTTGACGTTATTTAGTATCAGAGCCCAGGTTAACTTCAACTAATAACTGAATAGAATCGTGGTGGGCACCGACAATGGGTTCGCGATGGCAAGGGACATGGGATCGCCTCAGAGACCGAAGATGAACAACCACGTCAAAGAGGACTAGGCAATATAAAAAGCAAAGAGCTACAACGAGGAGTGGAGGAGATAGAACGACAATTAGAGAGATCACTATTGTTCGTTCAAACTAAAGGCGAGATGGAATTCGAAGATGCATATGATGATGACGACGAGGAGGGAGACAATAATCTCCTAACAATTCTGAGCCAAGAGCAGAATCGGAGGATTCGACATGTAATTTAGTATTTTCTTCTGAACATCGGGATATAAATGAACATTCCAAATCAGTCCTTTTAAACAGAATAAATTCTAAGAGTTTTTAAACAGAATAAATTCTAAGAGTTTTTAAACAGAATAAATAAAGGTGCATTCACCTTTTAATTTTAGTTTGTTAAAATTACGACGCACTTAAATTATATATATATATATATATATATATATATATATATATATTAAAATAATCTTATCCTAATTCATGATTTAAATATTTCAATTTCATTTCCTTGTTATGATGTGTCCTAATGGGATAAAAATTTGTTTGATTGGTGACGTGTGTTAATGATGAAATGAAACCGTGATTTGATGAATATTTTTGGACTTTTATCTCTGTCTCCGCGAATTGTCTCTGAAACTCAACCTCATGAATCATGTATGACCTCGTCAGTCTTGATTCAAAAGTGTCATCAGAGATAAGAAAGAGAGTCTTAGGGCTTGTTTGATAACTTCACTTGATTAATTTTTGAAAAATGGCCAACAACAACATTAGAGTTTGCAAAAACAAAAAAGCAAAAAAAAAAATAAAAAAAATTTGTCTTTAAAAATGAAAAGAACAAATTGATGTCATTCCGCAATTATTTTAAGAGAATTAATTTTCTTATTTTATACGAGAAAGTTTTTTCATGTTACATACACAATACATGAGTAAGGTTCATAAAAAAATAAAAATAAATAAAAAATAATAATATAAAACTCACTCATGTATTATGTATATAGCGTGAAAAATTTTTCTCATGTAAAATAAAAAAACTATTTCCGTTATTTTAACGATCTAATCTTCAAATTTGTTTATGAACATTGTGTACAAAAACAAGAAAGTTTTATTTAAACAAAATGTTCAACGGAAAACGCGCTAATTTGTGTCAATTTTGCTGATATATATTTTTGAGAATTAAAATTTGAAACATCCATTTAATGACGTGTATGTAAATTTCAATGATAAATCTTACAATAAAAGGTTGAGAAATGCAGTTTAAGGCAGCAAGGTTTGTTGAAATATTAACAGAATTAAGGCCTTATCTGGTTCTAAATTAATTATTTAAAATAAAATTATTTTTTGAAGAAAAGGATCAAGAAGATAATAGTCAGAATAATTTGTTCTGAACACAATAGTAAGCATTTCTAATAAAACCGGACCAGTCCGACTGGGTTGACCTGAGAATTGATGAACCGGTCATAAAATAAATTTGGGTGAAGCAGTGGATCGGTCATGCATTGAACCCGGTGCAACTCTGCTGGTTTTGATGAAAACTGGTGACCCGACCCGATTTATTTTTAAAAAAAATATTCCAAAAAAAATTCAAAAAAATCATAATTGACATTTTTGAGTGATCTATTGCTTATTGACTTACATAGGTTGTGTACCTATAATACTAATATTATCTCAGTTATGTACTATGCAGATAATTTTGATTTGATTTATACTTAGATATTTCGTCTACTAAACCTGAAACATCAGTATCACAAACATTATATATTTGTTTGATCTTTTATTGGACAATAATGTGTAATTTATTATTTTTATATTGAAATATTTATAATTTATATAATTTTTTTAGCTATTTGAGTATGTTTATAATTTTTTAATATAAATTATAAATTTACATATATTCACCGAGTCATGCAGTTGAACTAGTGACTCGAACCTCGACCGACCCAATGATCGGACTGATTTTAATAACTTTGATTGTAAGGTAGCATTTTATTTTATTATACTGAACTAAATTTTAAAATGTTTTTTAATTTATTGGTTGTTAAACACTTACATTTTTCTATTGATTATAAAAATAAGGTTAAAAAAATCTTCTGAATAGGTTCTATTAAAAAAAAAATTGAAACATGTCCAATTTGTCTTCAGTCTCCCTTCTCTTCAAACAAATTAAAATCGGTACGTGTCGACTTTTATTAATTTAAACTTTTGTGAATAAATAACAACACATCAATAACTCGTTAATTATTAATTCTTAGTTATAGGTCACGATTCACGACATACAAAACTACAATATTCTTATATAAAAGCTATCAATTTTGTATTAGGTTGTTGTTATGTCTCCGCAATTGATTACATGCATTTGATTAGTAATCAGCTTTCAATCATTGATCTATCAAAACGCATTTTACTCAAGAGGTACTTAACTATGTTACTTTAATTCTCCAACCATGTGATGTGACACATCCGTTGTTCTATATAGTCAATAAATTTTTAAAGTCAACTTCCCACTTAATCTCATTCACTAAATTTTGTTATACAAATATAAATTTATGTAAATAATTTACTTACGTATGTTAAAGTCTCCCATTAATCTTTAAAGATATATTATAAATACTATGATATGATTATGTAGTTAACTTGATCGATCACTTTCTCTAGCTCACGCACTATATATGTATTCTACAAAACAGTAATAAATAATATCTTTTTTAATTTCTTAATTCATACGTATGTTTATATTTATGCTAAATATTATTTATCTCTCATATATATATATATTGTTTCGATCAAATTTAAATTTAATCTATATGATATAATAGTTTTATTAAACTCTATGCAAGAAATTTGTTATACGTCTTTCAATTAAAACTAACCAAAAACAAATAACACGTTAATTACCATTTAATATACGGAAAAAGTTTCTAATGTTACTTTAGACAACTTTGTCTAATGTTCATCAAAACGACGTCGTTTTAAGGTTGAAAAATTAAAAAATTAGAATGATAAAGATTATTATAACCCTGAAATAAATTAAAATTACAAAAATCATGATTTCCGTCCCAAAACGACGTCGTTTCGATGAACTTTAGATAAATTCATCTAAAGTAACTTTAGAAAAAACAAACCCTTTAATATATCTCGTTGTTAAAAAGTAACTAAGAAATTGACAAAGAAATTTTTTGCAGGCCAACCCCAATAAAATAAATAATAAATACATTATGCTTGCTTGCAAAAGAAAACAATTTCAACAGAAAGAGAAGGCTGCGTGCGTAAATAGTGGATCACTTTTCCTGGTTTGAAAGACTAGTTTAATTAGTAGTTAAACCCTAACAAACCATTTTTTTTTCTTTGGTAACAAACAAAAACTAATATACACATGGAGCTGTTTTCTTTTTAAATATCTTATAATTAAGAAAAACACTTTTTCAAGCTATGTTGCGTCATGAATGATGATAAAATTTTGATACTAAAGCTATATTTATCAAAATGATTCATGACATTTCGTAAGGGGCACTGATTATACTATATATACGCGTCTTTAACTTATCATTAATACGTAACTGCATTTAATGGAATTGGCGTATTCGTGATGATTTGTTAAACTCCTTTCAAAACGCTTAAATTCTTATCTCATTTTTCATATTGGTATTATTTTATTAAAAAAATTTCGAGGTAAACCTCATTTTTTTCGGGGGTGAATTTTAGAGATATATCTTACATGAACATTAATCTATCAGCTTTAATATACAAATACTAACATTTTAGTTAAAGGGAATATTAAAATGTGAAAACATTGAAAGTTTGATATAGTAACAGTTTCACAACACAATGAACTAAATGACAAGAGAACAACTCAATGGGATACTTTGAGAAGTAACATTGTACAGCTAGCTAGCAATACCATGTGTTATTTAACAATATAGATAAAAATAGCTGGAATGGCCTGTGAGAGTTATGAAGGACCCTTAACTAGCGCCCTGGAATATGTGGGAACTTTAAATATTTCCCTTTACAAGTATATAAATGTTACTTAGCAGAGAATAGACAAAGAGAGAGAGAAAGAGGAAGAGAGATATGGATATGGAAGATAATAAAGGTACAGTTTGTGTAACAGGTGGAACCGGGTATGTAGCATCATGGCTAATTATGAGGCTTCTTCAACATGGTTACTTGGTTCGAGCCACCGTTAGATCCCACCATGCTGCAGGTATAATGATTAATTACTTTTTGTTAAATTAAGTTCCATTTGCAAATTGATGACACTTTTACTTAGTTTTCTATTCTTGTAGAGTTTGAATTGTTCTTGTTTGTTTCCTCCACTTCTTGATTATTTCTACGAAGAGTGATGAAATTGTGTATATATATAAATGTAGATTATATTTGCATGTCCTTAAAGTTGATATTAGATGGTTAGATATAAAATTGATGACTAATCTTTGAATTAACAATGTTGGCTTCTATTTAAATTGTATTATTGTTTATGAAATAGTATTGAAAACTTCATCTTAAATTAGATTAAAATATGAAGCTTTTTGGTGTGTGTTTGGCCTGACTTCTTTCCATCCGATCTTCGTCTTAAATGGAGAAGCCGGAGTAAACATGGTTTTGGAGATCTAGAAAAATTAACTAACTTTTTCTTTAAAAAGAAAAAAAAAAAAAAAAAGGAAAAATGAGCTTTTCTCATAAGCTCCCCTTAGGGGGCATTCGGTTGAGGAGAAATTTTTTGAATACTAGGGAAATGGTTGAAAGGTGAGTTTGGTAGGAAAGTTAAAAAATAGTTGTTTGATTGATCAAAATTTTACCAGGGAAATTGAGTTAAATTTTGTGAGTCTTTGTTTGGTTGATCAAAATTTTACCAGAGAAATTGAGTTAAATTTTGTGAGTCTTTGTTTGGTTGAAAGTGAAATAATTATGGGTAAATGTGTTGAAATACCAAAAATAACCCTTGATATTTTAAAGATGTAGACATGTATACTTAGAAGAGGGTAATATGGTAACACTCTTCATTCACCTTTTGCATTTTAGCTAATTTTTTAAGAATACCACATCTTAAATGGTAAAGTTTTACCATGATTTGCTTTTGATTTTGCACATACTTGTGAAGGACGGGAAAAAGAGAAGTATAGCTAAATTTTTTTAATCTTTCTACCAAACAAAGCAATCATAGAATGCCACTTCAAAATTGATGGGGAACCAAATAAAAACCTTCAACCAAACGCCCTAGCAACTTTTATCTTCTCCCTCCGATTTTTGTCATCTCCCTTCTTTTTCCGTACAAGAGTTATGAACAGTCAATTATATAGCCTTCGGCTGTACTCCCAATCGACCTTGATCCCGATGATGCTTGATGACAGGAGTAATAATTTTCAACATAACCCACCCTCACAATATAAAAGGAATACGGGAAATTTGTATTGGGGTTGATTATTTTTTTTAATTTGTGCCAAGTTCGTATTGGAAAAACACGAAAATTTTTTGTATCAATGTTGTGTGTCAACTTATAAATATGAAATTGACCCGCATTAATTTTCTTGTTGGTTATTCATGTCATGTCGTGTCAAGCCGCATAATAAATAATATACTTTGAGGTTAGAGATTTATTTGCGTCATATTGTGTCAATCTACATAATAAGAACATATTTTGAGGTTGGCATGCTATTCTTGTCATCTCAACCCACAAAATAAGTGGGTCGTGGCAATAATGTTATAACAATCCTATGGAATATAATCTTAAATCATTAATCTAGCAATGATTTTATATCAATATGCTAATAGGAAAAAAATTCCAGTGGTTCAAACTACCAACAATTGGTGGTCCCTTTATTAAATGTGAAAAAAATTCTTTTTACTTTACACCTTTCTTTTATTTATATTTTTCTCTATGTCTCAAATTTTCAAAGAGACCACCTAATGGTTGGTGGTCCTGAATCCCTGAAAACTTTTTGCTGTTGAAATTTTTTTCAGTGGTCTAGTACCACCAACAATTAGATGGTTCCTTTGAGAAAATATGAAAAAATTTCTTCTACTTTACTCCTTTCTTTTATTTATAATTTCATCTATGTCTTAAACTTTTCAAAGGGACCACATAATTCTTGGTGGTCCTGAACTACTGAAAATTTAAAATAATCTCCTAATAGTGACAAAATATGCTCCGTGAATTGGCCTTAAATGCTCCATTAATGACATCTTCAAAGTATTCCATGTGAAGGAGCGAGCCACCCAAGTACTTTAAATATATCCCCTTACAGACATAGATAGCTTAGCAAAGAGTAGAGAGAAAAAAAGGAAGAGAGATATGGAAGACGATGAAGGTATAGTTTGTGTAACAGTGGAACTAGGTATTTAGCATCATGGCTAATTATGAGGCTTCTTCAACATGGTTACTTAGTTCGAGCCATAATTAGATCCTACTCTGTTGCAGGTACCGTGGTTTTACGAAATATCCTTATGTCAAATAGAGCCTGGTTAGAAAAATATCAAACCATTAATATAACTTCACTTAATAATTTAAATTTTGTAGTAAAAATAATTCTTTACATAATATCAGAGTTTATGTGATAAAGTGGTCATGAATTCGATTCTTAACGCCCTCGTTCTATTAATAAAAATAATTAAATATTATAGAGTTTCTTAACACAAGTCGGCTGAGACTTCAAGCCTAATAAATTTTCGTGTGAGGAGACGCGTTAGAGAAATATAAAGTCATTAATTAATGTATATGCATTACCGAATGACTTAATTTTTTGAATTAAAATGACTCTTTACAAGCTCCATATGCAAATTAAAGACCTTTTTCCTTCATTCCTATTCTTGAAGAGTCTGGATTGTTCTTGTTTGTTTCCTTTCCTTGATTCCTTTACATGCCTTTAAATTTGATAGTAGAAGATTAGAGATATGATTGATCATTTGAAATCTTTGAATTAATGATGTTGCCTTTTATTCCAATTGCAATAATATTTATGAAATAATATCTAAAATTTTATCATTAGAGTAAAAGCCTTCGAACAGCAATAAGATTTGTCCTTTGTAATCTTAATCAAAGGTTACGTGATCAAACCTATCGAGAAACGGTCTATTTGTAAAAATCCAAAAGAAGTTTGTGTATCGGAAGGTTATGTGATCAAACCTATCTAGAAATAATCTATTTGCAAAAATCCAAAAGAAGTTTGAGTATCGGAAAGTTACGTGATCAAACTATCGAGAAACGGTCTATTTGCAAAAATTCAAAAGAAGGTTATGTACAATTGACTATCATCTCTATTATTGCAAGTCGTGAAACCTTATGCTTTGGGATTTGCTCTTTACTCTTTATCTAAACCTGGGTCTTTAATTAGACTAAATTTGATCCTTAGATGCATGATTAGTATATTAGTTTAGGGATAGATTATTCTACTTACTATTCTTTCTGGCTATTTTTTCCTTCCACTTTTCAATACCGTTAGATCAGAATCTAAAGATGAGAGAGAAAGATAATGTTAATTAACATTCTAATCTAAAGATATTTAAGAGTGAGGTAGGCAGAAAAAATGGTAGGTAAAATAAACTATCTCATTAGTTTATAATCCTACGAGCAATATTAATTTCATGTATAAGTTTTCTAATTCAAAAACTAATACATATCTATCTATCAGAACGCAAGAAAGACCTCAGCTATCTCACAAACTTACCAGAAGCATCAAAGAGGCTCCAAATCTTCCATGCTGACCTCGATCAACCGGGTAGTTTTAACTCGGCCATTGAAGGGTGTGTAGGAGTCTTCCATCTTGCACACCCAATGGATGTTCAAGGCCAAGAACCTGAAGAAACAGTGACAAAGCGAGCTGTGGAAGGAACCCTAGGCATTTTGAAGGCGTGTCTAGAATCAAAGACAGTGAAACGAGTGGTTTACACTTCTAGTGCAACTACAGTCTTATTCAATGGTAATGGTCTTGATATGTTGGATGAAGATACGTGGAGCGACCTTGAAATTTGTCGAAGTAGTAATATTGTAAGCTCTTCGTATTTGGTCTCTAAAATTTTAACTGAGAAGGCTGCTTTAGAGTTTGGAAAAGAGAATGGATTGGAGGTCGTGAGCTTGATTCTTCCTTTGGTCGTAGGACCCTTTATTTGTCCCAAAATTCCATCATCTGTGTATATAGCACTCGCCATGATCTTCGGTATGTATTTAACATTTTGTTCACACATATTGCCATTTATACATAACTTTTCTTTTTTAGGGACAGCAACTTAGGTATAAGAATAATGAGTCTTATATCAATATTTAACAGTTTACTTCTATATATTTAAAGGTTATAATTTATTAGAAATTAATAATTAATTAATGAGTATGATCCAATAAATTATAATCGTTAGATGGACAAAATCAATAGTTAAGATTTAATATAAGAGTTATTATTCTTACATCCATATAAATTGATTTTTTTATTAGATTTTAATATTTTTTTTCTATCACAAGAGACTTGAGGAAAAAAAAAACACACAGTATATTAAAAAATCAAATTTATGTGGGAGGAGGGAAACAAATTTTTTGGAATATCCTGCAATATTTTTTCAAATCCCAAGTCGAGTTGTTTTTGAGTTATGTGAAATAACTTTGGGAGAATCGACTGTGATGTTGCAGGAAATGAAAAACATATCCTAATAAATATTCGAAAATTGGTCCAATACGTTTTTTGTTTTTAAAAAAATGATGGGACCACTTGCTTTATTTCTATAGTATAACCTAAACTATCTCCTATTGCAAGAGGATTAAATATCCCAATAACTTTATCTAGTCCAAGGGAGGAAATTTTTTTGCTTTTTTGATTTCATATTTTGATTACGTTTTTTATTTTTCTATACATCAGTGATGTTGGTTATTAATTTACATTGCTACATATCTTAAGTCTTAACTTTTCATGTGCATATTTTATATAATCAATTAATGTGTTACTTATTCTTTTCATCTGTTTTAAGAAAAAATCTTAAAAATCATATATGATGCCTAGCTAAGTTCCAAATTATTCAAAAGTAAGAGCAGTTAGATAAATAAGCATTGCTTAAGAAAAAGTGATGGTGTTGATTCTCATGTACAGTTCCGTTATTAAATATAATAATTTAGATTTACATGTTAAAAAATTTAGAATTAAATAGTTATTTTTCATAAGGAAAAAATGACTAATTGATTATATCTGATGCACTTTATGTATGTTGATTGTCATTCACCTTTGTATGTATTACGAATTTTCTGTAAATTGACATTTTTGGTTTTTAAAAGACAAGAAAAGTACTCTTGTCCTTTTCTTTTGATTCTAATATATATTAATTTGAAATTTTATGTATTGTATTTCATGTGGGCTTAATTGTTTAGGAGATGAAAACCAATGTCAATACCTCGTAAACTCATATATGGTGCACATAGATGATGCTACCCGTGCTCTTATATTTCTTCTTGATTATGATGATGCTAATGGAAGGTATATTTGTTCCTCGGACCAAATATCATTTGATGAGATGCATGCACTACTTTGTCAAAGATATCCAGAGTATCACATAACAATACCAAAGTAAGTCATATAAATATTTTATTTTTATTTTACTATATAAAAGAAAGATCTAACCAATTTTTTTTTTTTAATTATTTTGTAGCAACATAAGGGAGACAACAAACACTGATCGCAAGTTCAGTGGTCTTTCTTCAAGAAAGTTGTTGAATACTGGGTTCCAGTTTGAATACGGAATCAATGAAATGTACGATGGAGCTATGAAGTGTTGCAAAGAGAAAGGCTTTCTTTAGTTCGTATAGAAAAAATGTATTAGTTCGCCCAGTTATGATGCCTTGTAGTCAGTTTCTGTTTTAATTTCCTTTGTAATCCAAAAAAGAAAAAGAAAAAATGTATTAGTTCGTATAGAAAAAATGTATTATATATACATAGGGATAAGTTATTCTGCCTATTATTTTTTCTGCCTACTTTTGCCTATCACTCTAAAATACCATTGGATAAGAATCTTAAGTAACATTTATCTTTCTCTCTCTTCTTGAGATTCTGATCTAACGATGTTGGAGGGTGGTAGGCAAAGATAGGCAGAAAAAATAGTAGGTAGAATAACCTATCCCACATATATATATATATATATATATATATATATATATATATATATATATAGGTAAAATCATTTCTGCAGCCGCTTTACGTACAGCAACGACATATGTATGGTTATGATTTTTCACATTTAATTTTTTCATGCTTTGTATGGTTATGATTCTCCGCATTTAATGCTTTCGAGTATATATAAGACAAGTATTTTTTTTTTTTTTTGATAACAATAAGACAAGTATTTGATTGCTGCACATACAGCAACGGCAGAAATGTAAACCCCATATATATATATATATATAATGGTATTATAATTATAGTAATTGTTAATGTATTTTTTTTTTGTAATATTGCACAAATTTTTACTCATTTTGTGAGACTTTATATGATCTCAATGAATAATTTCAATTAAATTCACTACAAAAATAACATAATTGTTGTTATAATTATTATAAATATGTCTTTTAAATTCTCTTGTTTAAGCATATATATTAGTGTAAGTATAACATTAAATAAGAAACGTAATTATTGTATGATTTTAGTTAATTGTTATTATCTCCCGCAATTATTCTGAAACTAACATAATAATCATTATCATTAATTGGCTTCTTTATCCCTGACTTTCTTCCCCTAACTCCCATATTTTCAGTTCTATTCCCAAATTTTCCACTTTTCCCATTCCCCCAAAGTTGTTTAAATCATCCAAAATGAAAATCTTTTATCAGAAAAATATTTCTGCAGTTAATGCAGATAAATTATCTGCATTTACTTCCAAAACGACGTCGTTTTGGGATTGAAATATTAAAAAATTATAATTATAATTAAAGACTATAATAATCCTGAAATAAATTAAAATTACAAAAACACCATGATTTTCGCCCTAAAATGACGTCGTATTGAACTTACTACAGATAACTTATATACAGTAATTGCAGAAAAAGCAAACTCATCTTTTATAGGGTTTTCTTGAATTCAAGATCTTAACAACTAGAATAATATGCCTATAGGAAACTGTATTAGTCCATAAAACATTACATCTGGTGCAGTGGAGGATTCTAGTAGAAAAATTCTAATTTGTTGAATATGAAAGTTTATAAGAACATAAAAATTATTCCACAGCAACAACCTACATCCAAAAGCGTCCCTATAGCACAAAATATGACTTTAAAAATACATTTAAAACCAAAAGAAGGGCTTATATAACATCCCTATATATAGTCTTCCATTGCAATTGATTTTGTTGATTGCATTAAAACCAAAAGAATGCTATATTTATAGGAAAAATACATTAAAAAACTATAAGATTAGTAACTTACTGGATCATCAATTGCAATACCCATTTCAACAAGTAGAGGCATAGAAATATTTTTGTAAGTTCTAACGTAGTCTTATGATCTAATCATGCTTATACGTATACAACAAAAGTAATTAGATCAAATACGAAAAAATTAAGTTATAAATACCTCATGTCATTGCTTTCCTTTGTTGCTCTAAGCCTAGAAATGAAACTCTTTATGTATACACTATGTGAGGTAGCCTTAAAACAAAAAACGAACTCAACCTCCATAATGGTCAAGGTCTACTTGACACTTCTCCAAGATACAGCTCCACTGGTTAGCATAAAAATTTATCCTGGAGTCAATTTTCTCATATCAACCAATGTAGTTTAAATCTGAGTAGCCAATCACTTTCAAGTTGTCAGTCCGTCTGTACATAAACATGTAGTCCTTAATTCTTTGGAGGTATCTCATCACTTTTTTTTGTAGATTTCTAGTGATCAAAACATGGGTTACTTTGATATCTCCTTAACACTCCAACAACAAAAGCAATACTAGGTCTTGTGTAGACCTGAACATACATAAGGCTTTCAATAACTGAAGCATAAGGAATGTTCTTTATTTGTTCCCGCTTAAGATCATTTTTTGGGCACTGGCTTAATTCAAACCTGTCACCCTTCACAACGGGAGCTACACTTGGGAACAATCATTATCTTAAATCTTTCCAAAACTTTGTTGATATAGGTTTCTTGAGACAAACCAAGAACACCTCTTATTCTGTCTCTATTTATCTTGATGTGAATGACGTAAGAGGCATCACCTATATCCTTCCCATCAAAGTTTTTAGAGAGAAATTATTTCACCACATATAGCAAACCTTTATCATTGGTTGCAATTAAAATACCATCCACATATAGGATAAGGAAACTTTTTTTGCTCCCACTGACCTTCTAGTATATACATTGACCCATGATGTTCTTTACAAAACCAAATGAAGAGATAAAGTCATTAAATTTCAAATACCATTGACGGGAGACTTGTTTCAATCCATATATAGATTTCTTAAGCTTGCACACCAATTGTTCACCATTGTTAGAAGAGAATCCTTCAAGTTATTTCATATAAATCTCTTCTTCTATGTTTCGATTTAGAAAGGCTGTTTTCATATCCATTTGTTAAAATTCTAAGTCAAAATGTGCAACTAATGCTAGAATGATACGAAGAGAATCTTTCTTAGATACAGGAGAGAATGTCTCCTTGTAGTTGATTCCTTCTTTTTGATTAAATCCTTTAACTATGAGTATTGCTTTATATCTCTCAATGTTACCTAATGAGTTTTTCTTAGTTTTGAAGACTCATTTACATCTAATGACCTTTTCACCATCAGGCAATTGAACAAGATCCCAGACTCCATTAGATGCCATAGAATTCATTTCATCTTTCATAGCATTATACCAAAAATTTGATTCTTTACAATTCATGGCTTGTGAAAATGTTTCAGGGCAAAGATTTTCGGCTCCAATATTATAGTCAGATTCTTGTAGATACACAACAAAGTCATTCAATATCGCCTATTTTCTTATTATGGTAGATCTCCTCAATGTTGTTTCATTATCTTCTTGAGGAACTTCTTGTTCAACTGGTTGATCAACAATTTCTTCTTGTTCCTCATGAACAACTTGATCTACTAGATTATCAACAGGTTGTGGATCTTGTATGATTGGTTATACAACTCCCAGTTGAGCTGGAGGGGTATTGTGAACAACAACCAATCTCAAACTTGAAGTGGACGGTTGAGCAACTGAATGATCTTTCTCGTAAATAAAGTCTTTGGATTGATCGCTTGCATTAATCAAGTCATTCTCAAAAAAAATTGCATTTCTTAATTTCATAATCCTAGTACTGCGAGATGGACAGTAAAACCTGTATCCCTTAGACTTTTCAACATATCCAATGAAATACCCATTAATGGTCCTTTGGTCAAGCTTCGTTTCTTGTGGGTTATAGATTCTGACTTCAGACGGGCATCCCCAAATGGGTACATGTCGCAAACTCGGTTTCCAATCTTTAAATAACTCAAATGGTGTCTTTGGGTCAACCTTAGTTGGAACTCGATTCAATATGTACATTGCCATCTTCAGTGCTTCAATCCACCAGGACTCAGGAAGCTTGGAGCTACTAAGCATACTTTGTAAGACATGAACATTCATGTAAAACAAGTGAAATTTCAAACCATGAATAGTACCAACGTCAGAAATTTCAAACCATAAATAACACATGAACAATGTCATCTTCAACCTTCAGCTGGGTCACTTCGACCTGGTTTCAACCCAATATAAAAACCCAATGGTTTTTGGTCATTTTTGCTTAAAAAAATCATGACTTTTGTCCAGAAATGTCAAAAATCTTTGTTCCACATGACTTTTAACTCAAATTTCATTTACAAGGCACTAAATATTAATTTGAAAAATAATATTAATTAAGACACAATCAAATATACACAAACTTAAGGCAGAGGCAAAAAGGGCTCTGATATCAAATGTAAGTTCTAACGTAGCCTTATGATCTAATCATGCTCATACACAACAGAATAAAATAGATCAAATGCGGAAAAATTAAGTCATAAATACCTCTCGTCATTGCTTTCCTTGGTTGCTTCTACGATGGTTGAAGTTGTCCATGAATACTTTATGAGTCTTCCAAACTCTAGCTCTCAGGCACAAATGATGTATAACATTAAGCCAAAAGGGAGTTTAGGGACCCTATAGTCTGAAGCCACACCATATATATAGACCCTTACCACCAAGGTGTCAATTATGACTGATGTGCACAAAATCTGGGCTTTTGGGATTTGTTTGACCTTTGTGGAGTTATTATTGAAAAAGTGTGAAAGTGGTTGCTGAAAATCAATGTATGCAGCTAAAAAGTCAGTGGACCACATCCTTGACTTAAAGGCACATTTTTACATAGTTTCGCAAGCACGAATTTGATTGACTTAAGTTTTGGACCTTTTCCTATAGTTGTAATTTGTGGTTCTGAACTTTGTGTTGCACATGCATATCAGATGCATCTCTATTAGAACTACTAGGGAAATTTGTCTTTGATATTTTGATTCGAAGACTTGCAAAGTGAACACATTGGATCTTACACTTCGAACTTGTCCTAGATATTCCTTGTCAAATACTTGACTAAGAGAATCATTACAATTCCTGAACTTTCTATTCCACTAATCTTCTCCTGCATGATTAAAGTTATAAGAAAGTAAGAAGTAAAATGGATTAATCAAAGATGTTTTTGTGGTTTTTGTGTAACTTAATTTCATGTCAACAATAAATAAAAGGCCTTTAGCTTAGAAAATGGAGAACATTTGTGAATTCTAATTACAGTACAAAGCTCTAAATAAGATTGTCCTAATCACCAAATACCTAATATTATTTGTTTATATAATTGAACCATCTAGATAAAAACGTATATGATTTGTTTCAGTCACCAAATATCTTCAAAATACCTTTCCTTTTGGCTTTCCTAGCCTTCCTATACATTGAAACCATACATAATTAGGACCCTCTCTTTGAAAAGAATGGACCTAATTAACATATGGATTTTCCTTTAGCATATCAATTAAATGTAAACAAGAATCAATACTTTCATCAACATTAATCACTAAATAAAGGACATAAACAAATAATGTAATTATTAATATAATTGTACACCACATACCTAATCTGGCTAAACAAATAAACTCGAAGCCTATCTATCTATGATCTCGAAAAAGACACTTGTTCAAATAAGTGTGATATTCACTCACTTTCGGATCACCTATTTAATTCCCTTCTTGGACAAGATTGCCTTTACATAACAAGGACAACCATTTGTGTAGTTTTGATATTTCATTACAAATCTGTGTTCATCACTCTTTGCATTTATAGTTGTACGATGAATCTTCATACAATACATTTTAATAGTATGTTGCATTACAGACTTGGTTTCAAACTTTTATTGAACAAATAATGAATCTCCAATTTGTGAAGCATCGTGCAACTCATCATCACCATACATCTTCCCTTCAATGGGGTGGTCCCAATAAAGATAATTATGGTATTAATTATCATTCCAAAATAAGGCAGTATTTGGCACTACACATATGACCATGACATTTTTATCAAATGCATCAACTAGATAAATATGACATGTTACATAAAAAGTGAAATTCATAAACTAACCACCATTAAATGGATCAATTTAAAGGTCTATCAAAGAAGGGGTACTCATGTTTATTAGCATCAAAATCACCATTCACGTCAATATTAATGAATCACAAGTGGAATTACACTTTCGAATTCTTCTTCCTTGTCACTGTCCATATCCAACGAATCATCTTCTTCTTGTTCCCTTGATGTGATCTGACTTAAAATTGGTGAAAATGCATATGAACTTGACAAATTTGTTTTCATGACACAATCTTGTTATGTATTCTTACGCATGGAATGGATGGTATATCTCAGTAAATTTTCACAGATTGATCAAAATATGCATCGATCATATACTCCATATCCTCATTGTCATTGACATTATTACCAAGGTAGCACCCATTAGAAGTCTTTTACTTAGCTATCAAGTGAGAAGCACATTGGTTGCCTTGGAGTCCCATCTTTTTATGAACTCTCTTTAGTACCGTGTTTGATGTGTATCATTTTTGTTTGACCTTCAAAAGTTATACCATTAGGACCTTGAAATTGTCTACCATTATGGTAGACAACCGCAACAGATGTTTGGGAACATGAGCTCATCTTTTTCAAGGATTAAGGTTTGGAGATGATGGCTTCAGATTTTTGCACAAAATTTTGAAGATCTAAGGATAACGACAATAATTTTATAAGGGAAAAAGTTTAATGTAATAAAAATCGTGGAGAAAGAAATTGTGGATGACCTGATATTGGCCTCTAACTGACATTTATGCGAGTAACTCGGCCATGTACACTTGTAACTGAGTCAATTATTCGAGTAAATGAAGGTTAACGACAGGCTAAACAAGAACATATTGATATATAGTTTAAAAAGAGAACAATTTGGTATATGGTTTTGAAAGGGGGCAAAGTGATAAATTTGTTATAAACGTGAATAAAATAGTCAATTAGCCTAGGTTACAAGTCGGAACACTGACCAAAATGTCACTGTTCATCAAGTTTTTTACTCAAATGCCACGCGAACAATGTTATTTCTCATTATGCCACGTAGGCAAGTTCGTTGGGCACTGTAGCAAACTCAGTTCGCTGACGTGTCACGTTGCTAGTGGACACCAAGTTCGCTACCCCAGTTCGTTGACGTGTCACGTTTCTATCAGGTAGCGAACTTGGTAGTTGGTGTCCTCTAGAAACGTGACACGTCAGCGAACTGAGTTTGCTACAGTGCCCAGCGAACTTGTGCACGTGACATATTGCAAAATAATACTGTTCGCGTGGTATTTAGGTAAAAAACTTGGAACCAAGCCTCACGAAAACGACAGCGTTAGCACTTCAATATAAAAATGCGTTCGATTTGACACTGAGAGCGCAAAACGTAACCGATTCTCGAGTTGCAAATCACACGTCCACACACATACATATAACGACTTTCTCAGGCCCTCATTCTTCCTCCCTCAACGATTCTAACGGCTTTCTCTCTCTCCACCATTCTCAATTCTCGAATCTGTGTTCAGAACTCCAATCACAAACAGCTGCTGCAACAATGTCGTTATCGGATTCGGAGACCTATGGCGGTGCGGCGGAGTACAAGCCCTTCCGCCAAATCAGCCGTGATAGTGAGATCCATTTCGTTCCGCTTCGCATTTGTATTTTTTTTTTCCATCGTGTTCCGTTTGTTTCTCGAGAAATGTTGGTTCAGGAAAGAGGAGAAAATGTAGATACAGCGTTTCCCTGGCTGTGAAGTTTCAAAATCTCCCTGTCTATGATTCTGAGTTGCGAAGCAGAGCTCAGTATCGAAACACCCTATCTGAAAATCCCGATTCTCCATCTGCATTTCGTTTGGTTTAGAAATTGAATTTCGAAGTCTATAATTTGAAACTAAACGAATATGTCGAGTTTGTGATTTTCTTTTTTTCTAATCTTCTAGAAAATGAAGCGATTGGTTTCTCTGATAGAAAAAACGCAAGAAATGAAATATGCAAATTCATAACTTCGATTTTTCAGAAAACGTTTCGGTGTTTGGCATCCATCTTATTTTCTCAGTTTTTATTTTTTAAGCAAAAAAATTTCACCTTCACAGTTCAAAATAGAAGACGAAATTTAATTAAGTACTGTGTGCATGTAATGAATTCACCTTCGTGACTTGTTTCGTAATCTTTTTCATGGTTGGATGCTCATAGGACTATTGTATGAAATGCTTAGATCGGCAAAATCAGGGGATTCGAAAGCCTGGAAGGTGTGTCTTTTAATATGGATATTTTGCACTTCGCCCATATGCTTTGTCTTTGCTTCTTATCTTTAGTTAATTCAAGGTGATAACTCATGTTGGCCAATTTTGTTTTCTAATTCTGACAGGTGCTTATAATGGATAAGGTCACGGTGAAAGTTATGTCACATTCATGTAAAATGGCAGATATTACAGACCAAGAAGTTTCCTGTAAGAACACTAAAAGATATGGCATTTTTGAGTTTATCCCTTTTTCTACATTTCTTCTACTAGAGCCAATTTACTCTGGCTGATGGAACAAGTGAAAAAATGTAAAGGAGTGGTGGTTACTGGCTTTGTAAGAAGCAATTCTCACTATCATAAGATGGTCAAACACTTAAGAAGTGATTATTGGTGCCAAATGCAACTCTCTACTCCCAAGAACTGTAAAAAATCAGACATTAAGATTAGAGTGCTTCTCAGTATGTATGCTGTATCAAATAACTGGAGTAAAAACAATTAATTATTTGCCACAATATTTCTCATTCATTAAGCCATATCATGTTGCACATGATGTTATTTAATCTCCGTCTTTCTTCGGTTTATACTCCCCTCCGCTTCAATTGGCAGTGTATTTGTCAAGATCATTTAGATTTGAATATTGTGCACTTAATTGATGCTTTCTACTTCGTTGTATTTTATGTTTTTCCATATTCACCGAACCAACTATACTACAATTTTTGTTCTGCGGTTACTGTGTTAAAATATAGGCATTATATAACCTGTTAACATTTCATTGCAGTGGTGGAAGACCTTTTCCGGAGAAGGCAACCACTACCATCTATGGATGCTGTTTATTTCATCCAGCCTTCAAAAGAGAAGTAATTTTGTTTTCTAATTAGAATTTTCCATTTTTTTATGACCACAGCAGATAAAAAAAAATCATGTAAAATAATTGTTTTGTTATTCAAGGACAAGTCTTCCATTATAACACCATGTTATTTAGGATTTTCATAGATTATAGCACTATTGCTTAACTTGGTGCTATTTAAAACATACCGAGTGCATTTTTGCTAGCATTCACTTTGCAATTTCCACCCTTGCAAGTGTGTTTAACTAGCCTGTTTGTCTGCTTCTTTCTCATCAACAAATTCAATTTGAATATATCAGATATTTATGATTTCTGTAATTTACTTAACTATTTGATACAATATGTGATTTTTATCATGAAAGAAGAGGTTTCTAGCTATATGAAAATAGGAAATTCTATGTGACAGTTTATTTTTAATTATTTGTTACGAGGAAGTTGTTTGGAAGAATTATGTTGGGAACCTGCATTATATTATCAATTTATGATGAGTTGATAGATTTTATTAAATTCACTGACAGAGATCACTGTAATAATGGTTATGGAGAGAAAGAGAAAGTGTGTATGTTAAAGAAAATTCAAAAGAAATAACTAGGAGACCTTATAGCTGATTCTTCTGGCTTTTTGACCCTTTTGCCCCTCATTAATTAATTAATAACCAATTTGCCCCTGATCAAGAACTATCCACCAACCTGCCCCCTTTTAGTCGACTACCTTGCGGTTTTAGTCGAGCAAATGGTCAATCTTCAGAAAGTGGACTTCCGCAAATTTAGTCGACTAAAAAATCATCTTAATCGACTACATTTTTGGGATATTTAGTCGACTAAGTATCGATATTTAGTCGACTAAATATCGACGGATTTGTTTTTTAAAAACCCCCCATTCGGCAGAGGGGGAGTATGATGACCTAATCGACTAAGGAGGCGGCCCAAACCCCAAATCCGCAGGAGCAGCTGAAGAACGCCCCAAACCCTTCCTTTAGGCGTGTGGATTGCCCCCAAATTTGGTCCAAATCGTGAAATCTGAAGGATAGGTAAGGTTTCTTAACTTGCATTGTGTTTTAGGTTTAGGAATTTTTTGTATTTGTTTGTGCCAAATTAGACAAATGCCATGCTTATGCGTGACGTGAAAACGCATGAGGCTAAGAAACCACGACCAATCATCCAATCTCTCACCAGGAGGAACAATAGCAAATGCAATAGGGAGAATGTAACCATCTCCATCTTGTGAAGTTGCAATCAAAAGAGTTCCTTTGTATTTACCGTACAAATGCGTGCCATCAATTTGGATTATGGGTTTACAATATTTGAAGGCCTCAATGCACTGGTGAAAGGTCCAAAATACTCGGTGAAAGACAGCCTTATCCGTATACACTCGACGTTCATCAACACATTGGTCTGTATCAATCTTGAACACAGAACCCACATTAACCTGCGTCATGTATGTCAGCCAACCAGGCAAGAATGCATACGATTTATCCCAGTCGCCAAATAACTTGACAATGGCTTTCATTTTAGCCTTCCAAGCTTTCCTGTAAGATATGTTGTATCCATACAAACGTTGTACCCTCTCTTGAATAAGAACTGGCTTCAATGATGGATCTTCTTTTAACATACCTATATAAAAAAAAACACCGGCCAACAGTCAGAATACAAACTGATTAACGTTAACATACCTTAGGAAGTTAGATATATCGAATAATACATACTGATAATGGTTGCACATATCACATCAGAATCCAACTGTCTATGATCCCGGGTAAGACCTTGGTTTAGGCAGGTGTGTTCTTTAACCCATTTACTAACCACCCAAGTATTTCCATTCTTCGGCAACAATGCCCTCACATACCAGGGACATCCATCATTATGGTGTCGACACTTCATCACAAATCTATGGTCATCACTTTTTGCCACAACGGCAGTACGGTGAGCCTTCATACAATATAATTTGACTGCATGTTGCATTTCAGATTTGCTACGAAACTCCTGATACAAATATAAAGGATCCCCTAATTGCCAGCCACCGTGATCATCATCGTCACCATACAATATCTCCGTCTCATCATTAGGGTGGACCCAATTAATGAAGGTATAATGTGAGCTTTCATTCCAAAATGGCTCGACCTCAGAACCTACGGATGCATTATAATGCCACCGTCAATACCATTCATAACAAAAAAAATAATTGCTAAATTAAATCTTTAAAAAACAAATCTTACCACTGCTAACAGGGTCAACACGAAGTGGTCTCGTAACCTGCGAACCCGGGGATGGTGAGCTTGTGTCAGTGTCGAAATCACCCTCTACGTCAGTATCTGACGTGTCACCTAGTGGAATAACACTCTCAGGTTCACCGTCCTCATCGCTGTCCATATCGGCATCCTGTTCATCCTCATCTGTTTCCCGCAGTGTTATCTGACTTATGACATGTGCAGGTGCAGATAAATCGACTACTCTTTCTTCATGACCAAAATACGGTTCACTTCTTGTATGCATGGGTGCAGATGAAGATTGACCACAATCTAATTCAACATATATCTCAATAAAATTTTGAAATTTTCGGTCAACAATTGCATCTATGACACATTCGACATCTTCATCATCACATATATCGTTACCAATGTAGTAAATAGCATCCTTACCAACTGTTGTCTCTACCCTGGCAATCATCCGTTGAACGCATTGGCTGCCTTGCAAACCCAATTTTTGCTGAATTCTCTCCTTTAACTCATTGTATGTAGTGCCCCGTTTGATTTTCAACATTTTCGTTTTTCCTTCAAATTGAACACCATTGGGGCCTTCATAATGCTTTCCATCATAGTAGATCATTGTCACATACATGTTTGGACTTGTGCTCATCTTCCTCACGAAATTGGGACTTGGGTTCTGAAATTGGGGGTTTGGGTTCGGATTTTGGGGTTTGGAATTGGGCAATGACAATGATTTCACAATATTAGGTCTGTAGAGATGGTGGGATGAAATACAATCGGATTGAGAGGATTACACATGAACAAAGGGAGCTATTTAGGTTTACACAACAACAACAATCGAAATGAGACCGAAAACATGGAAAATATAAGGTTTCAGTCGACATTTAGTCGACTAAATATCGATACTTAGTCGACTAAATATCCCAAAAATGTAGTCGATTAAGATGATTTTTTAGTCGACTAAATTTGCGGAAGTCCACTTTCTGAAGATTGACCATTTGCTCGACTAAAACAGCAAGGTAGTCGACTAAAAGGGGGCAGGTTGGTGGATAGTTCTTGATCAGGGGCAAATTGGTTATTAATTAATTAATGAGGGGCAAAAGGGTCAAAAAGCCTGATTCTTCTTCTAGGCTTTTTAAGTTCCTTAAGCGAAGTTCAGTGAACCATCACCACAGAATGATTATCAGGTTGCAAGTATTTTTTTATACGACAGGATCCGTTTACAAACTTTTTTTGCAATTACACTAATGTAGGACCGGTCGTACACTGTGTGATTAATGTAGGACCGGTCCTACGTAGTGTAGTTTGTAAGAGTTTGTAAACAAAAAAAGTTTGTAAATATAACCTGCTCTTTTTTTTATTATTCAAAATTCTCTTCTATATTTACAAAAATCATAGCAATTTCCTGAAGTTTTGTTGTTGGCTCTAAAAAAATTTTGAATTAGAAAGTTATCAAGCAGGCAGACACATATATCTGGAATGTACAGTGTGTTGGTAGAGACCCAAAAAAATTAACAGAAGGACAACCTTCACCATGAGACTTATTATAATGGAAGAAGTCAACTAAGAGACAGCAAAAGAAAGTTCCCCCCCCCCCCCCCCCCCCCCTTTTTTTTTTTTCAAAACAATCCAGGTATTGCAGCATGCTTCCCCATGTTCCCCGCCTTGGATAACAAACTCATTACTCTACGACTGCATTATGTTATCCAAGCTTGAAATGCTCTCCATCATTAACTGAGACCAGAGTCCATAACCTCAACTATCCAAGCTTGAATCTCTGAATGCTATTAAATCAGCAATGAAAATGTTTATCTTCTGCATCGTGGTAAAAGGGAGAAAAACAGACTGGAAGGAGACTTGCATCAAAACAAACTTTGATGTCTACTCCAGACAAACGCAACATAAAAATAGACTGTAAAAATATAAGTGCTGTTAAAATAGATATTTCCTTAGCTATTTGGAATATATGTGTGATTATAATCTGCAATAAATTAAGATAGATGAAACTTGCAAAGCACTAGGAACATGATATATAGAATTTGTTCCAATTAAATGTACATCTATTACACTTTAAATTCAGAAAAGTACACCTTTTGCTATATAGCATTCATAAATTAACCTAATCTTCTGTCTCCTCTTCTATGCATAATTTTTAACTGTCATTTTTTCTCTGTTATTTCTTTTTGTTTTCACTTGCATATTTTATCCATATTAAACATATCTTTTGCTAGCATGCAGTGTAGTCATGTTCTTGTCTGATATGTCTGGAAGGGAGCCCCTATACAGGAAGTAAATTCAATTTTCCTCCAAATTTAGTATTGTTACATCTTTTATAAGTTTACTTAGGACCAAACTGATTTTTTCTTTTTTTCTTTTTTTTTGTTGGGGGCGGGGGCTGCGTTTCCCTTTTTCGTATGCAATGTTTCAGAGCCTATGTATTTTTCAGTTCACCAATCCCAAAGGAACTTGTAAACCACATAAAGTGTGATACAAGTGTCTTACCCCGCATAGGTGCATTGAGAGAGGTCAAGATTTTGCTCCCCTTGTACCTAGTAGTTGTCAGCAAGTAGTCATCATCAAATTGTTTTTGACTGAAATTACTTTTGATTTTATTTTGCAGATGAATTTGGAATACTTCCCAATAGACGGCCAGGTATGTAATGATAAAACTATTTCATGGTTCAGTTTTTGGAAATGTATTTTACTTGCATAACATATTGAACTATTTGCCTCATTGATTAATAGTTTTGTCCATTAACGTGATTACTCTCAATCTACGGTATCATTAATCCTTCTTATAAATATGTTCATTACGCTGTCTAATCACTAATGTGTAATAATAAACTATCCGGATGATCTTACTGATTTATAAGGGAAGAGTGACCATTTTGCCACGCTTCGCAAATTTTTTTATCAAACTACCACGCCAACAGTAAATTTTGCCAAAATGCCACGCGACATATTTCGTTACACTGTGTAGCGAAATATGTTTGCATGTAATTCGCTATACAGTGTAGCGAAATATGTCATGTCACGCTGCACATTCACAAAAATGACACGTGTCAAGCAGGCAGAAATTCGCTATATTGTGTAGCGAATTATGTTTAAATTCTGTCTGCTTGACACGTGTCATTTTTTGCTGACTGTGCATCCTGACATGGCATATTTCGCTACACTGTGTAGCGAATTACTTGCAAACATATTTCGCTACACAGTGTAGCGAAATATGCCGCGTGACATTTTGACAAAATTTACTGTTGGCGTAGCAATTTGGTAAATTTTTTTGTCAAACATGACAAAATGGTCACTGTTCCATTTACAAGAGGAATTCCTATAGACATAATTTTGTCAAATGATCCCAAGGTTTTATTCCTTTTTAACTTTCCACGTCTAAATTTAGCAGTGTTCCCATGGAATTTGGGATTGTAATGCCTTCAAAGTTCATAAATTACATGACGTGAGCAGTATATAAATACCTTAACAACTTAATAAGAAATAAAAGTTCATGGAAATTTCACTTATATAGTAATAGTATATGTTATTGCTGCTCTCCAAGTACCAAACATTATTATATTAGGCTTGTGAGGAACTTCTATTAGCTATTGGAGGTGACTGTTGTAACTTACGCTCTCTCTTCTTTTTTTCTTGTTTTTCCTGTATGGAGAATAGATTTGTTTGTTATTTTGTCTCACATTATGATTATCTCTCCTTAACTTTCCACAGTATTAATGAACGTAAAGAATTGGAGGTTGATTTTGGACAATAATTAGATAGGTGGAATGAGTGAGAAAGTAACAATTCCTTAATGGCCATAATCAAACATGCCAATTCGGTCGCTAGCTTGTTAAACTTCATGATAAGGGGTATGGATCCTTCACACAGGTGCTAGTATTGTGGTCTGTGGATAGACTTTAAATAAAGGGCTGATCCGATTGTTATTAGTATGAATTGACCGGGTGGATGTAACCTGTAAGAAGCAAATATTGGATACTAGACTATTGTTTAGGGCTAAACAAGAGCTGCAGATAAAAAAATGTGTTTTGAGAAAATACGAGATCTAAAGCAAAAGGGAAGGTAAGTTTGTATGGAGGAAGGAACAAAGTGAAACTTGAATCCAGTTTTTTGGTTAATAGACTCGGAGATGAAGTAGACATACTAGGACTTACAACAGAAGAAAGGCAGAGTAAAAGAAAAGACATGGCAAGAAGAGACATGGAGCTTCTAGAAGCACTAATTAAGAGGCTTGAAGCTGGAAGCGGTATCCCATAGCATTCAAATAATTAAGAACCAGCAAGGCCATCTGGAGGAGTTAAAGCTGGTGGTGCTGGACCTAAGTGACAAGGATACGGGGCTAAGATTAGGGATAAGGTTAAAAACAGGGGAGGATAGACGGAGAAAGCATAAAATCCCTTTGTTTTTGGGGGAAGATGCCTCTGAGTGGGTTAATAAGGTGGATAGCTATTTCGAATTGAAGGGCGTAGCTGACAATGACAGATTGCATGTGGTACCGTTGGCCGTGGAAGTATTAGCTTTATCATGGTTCCAGTGATGGGAGTTTTGTGCTTAGAATCCTTCTTGGGGAGGCAGCTATTAGGAGGTCTCAATCCTCCATGATGCAGAACCCTTATGAATTACACTTGGGCTTGAAACAATGAATCGAGTAGAGGAGTATAGAGAGCAGTTCGTGCTATATGCGAGCCCATTGCGGGGTACTAACCTTAAGTATGCTGAAGAGAATTTTCTTGAATGTGCTGAAAGAAGAAATTAGGGAAGAATTGATGAACTATGCCCAAAGAATTTATGAGAAGAATAGAGTACTAATTAAAACAAGGGAGAAGATGAAGTGGACAGCAAGAGAGGAACCTCATAAAGGCTTAGTGATGAATTCTACAACCAGCAAACCCAAAAATACTTTTGGAAGCCAAGGAGGGTGGTCCGTAAGACTTTCTGATACAAATTACAAGAAAATGTCAAGAAGGGGGTGCGTTTTAGGTGTGATGAGAAGTATAAGCCCAAACATGTATAAAAGAACAAGCAATTTCAAGTAATGTTGCTGGAGGAAAGAGAGAGTGATGGAATGATGCAAGATCATAGGTGAAGGATAACTCTCTTGAATATTATTAGTAGCAGGCCCCGTAACAAAATTTTGGTGCATTATATGTATTCAAATGGGTACTCTTTTTTTCACTGTGGCTTCATTTTTTTTTTTTTTCAAAAAAAATGAAAAAAAATTTAAAAGTGGAAAAAATATGTATCTAATTAGATATATTTTATGCACCAAAGTTTTATTTCGCATGTTTGTGTGAGTAGAAATAAGGATGGATCTAATGATTTACTTGGGCCACGCCTTGTTAGTAATAGTTAAAGTTACCTGATATGGGAAGATATTCATGTAAGGATGCGATTGGTACAGGTTTTCTTTTGGGATAGATGGAAAAATATGAGTGGGTATTAGAAAATATCATGTTTGGTACAAGTTTGTGAAAAAAAAGTCTACAAAAAATATTGCCTAGGAAACAATATGTGTGTTAATTTTGTGCTGAAACTCAGTGTTTCAAAATATCACTTGAGATGTGGTATTTTGAAAAAAATCTGAAAAGGAGAAAATTGAGCGCGAAAATATTGACCAAAGTGACACTGCATGCGTGTAAAGTGAGTGAGTTCTCAGATCTACCATATTGTGACCCATTCTCATCTACATATAGTCAGAAGTGTGATAATAGGAAAGGAGAGAGGAGATGGTATTGACTGGTAACAGTTGAACAAGTGGGAGAGATTAGGTTCTCGAATACCTGAGAAATAGAAATTTTGTAATCTTGTTTTATCTTCCTAACCTTGCTGTTCTCCATTGATCCTGGGGTAGGGAAACCACATGAACAAAAATCTAATTTTTTTTTTCTTTATAATTTCTTTAATCTTTGGACCAGTTCTATCAGTATGCCACTGGAAATCCACTTGTCAACTCACAAAATGTAGATTCTGCTTCAACGTATACATGAAATTATGCATGTGAACATGCTTACATGCATGATGTAACCAGGCATACGCTTGCTTAGATAGATTGAAGATTTAAGTATGTTACTTGCACACATGCTGATAGAAAAAATTAAAAATAAGTTTTGGAATATATAATTGGCTTGGTTTTAAGGTGAGAGGGAATACTCTAAAGCACGTGATTCTTGCGTATCATGTCCGAGTGATAGCAAAAAATAACTATCCGGTTTTTGTGAAAGTCCTTATATTATATAAGCAAGCTACTCTGCTCCAACTAAGATTGGCACTTGTTATTGTACTTACTTTTAAGCAAAAAAATAACCTTGACCCTTTTTGCAAAATATTCTGAATCAGGGGAAAAAAATGATTTGTTTACTGAGATCTATATGATGCAGGGGTTTATCACTGATCAAGATACAGCATTGGAAGAACTTTATGGCAATATTGAGAATACTCGCAGATTTAATACGTGCTTGAATAATATGGCAATTCGAATAGCTACAGTTTTTGCTTCATTGAAGGTATTACTTTTACTTCCCTAATTCTATATTTGAAACTAACTCAGATCAAGGTTTTATAATGGACTTTTCTTCTCCTTCAACTTCTTTTTTTCCCGTGTTTCCTCTTTAATTACTCTCATAATGTGAAATTATTTCTCAAGTTGTTGAACGTCCAGCAATTAATATAGGTTTAGCGGATGTCCAGTGGCTGCACCTAAAAATTGGTGCACTCACACTATATATTACGGGTAATACATTGTGTATTTTCTCTATCTTCAGAAATTTAATTATGTATTATGAATAGTATATAGTTATAATATTTCTGAAGAGAGAGAAAAAATCATGTACTATCCGTAATATATAGTTAAATTTTTAAATATAGAGGAAATACATCATGTACTACCCGTAGTATATAGTGTAACAGCACAAATTCTTAGGTGCAGTCACATTACAAATCATTTTGCATATATATAGGGTTCATTTTTTCTGCAGTTACTGCAGATAAGTTATCTGCAGTAAGCCCAATACGACGTCGTTTTGGGGTGGAAATCATGGTGTTTTTATAATTTTAATTTATTTTAGGGTTATAATAGTCTTTATATTTATAATTTTTTAAGATTTCAATACCAAAACGACGTCGTTTTGGGAATAAATGTAGATAAATTATCTGCATTAACTGCAGAAATATTTTTCCCATATATATATATATATAGGGGCAGGTTATATTTACAAACTTTTTTGTTTACAAACTCTTACAAACTACACTAAGTACCACCAGTCATACTTTAATCATGCAGTGTACGACTGGTCGTACTTAGTGTAATTTGCAAAAAAAATTTGTAAACGGATCGTATCTCATATATATATATATATATATATATATATGGGGTAAGATATTGTAACAACCAATTAGTGTTACTACTAATCAATTTCACCGTTGAATCGATTATGTTGATCAAACGGTTATATTTATTTCCATCTTTATATAGTTATGGTTACCCATATTTAATGCTTTATATTTATTTTCACCTTTAAGCATTAAATATAAGAAATCATAACCATACAAAGATGAAAATAAATATAATCGTTGGATCAACATAATCGATCTAACGGTAAAATTGATTGGTAGTAACACTAATTGGTTATTACAATATCCTATCCCTATATATATATGTGTGTGTGTGATTTTTTTTATTTTTTTTTGGTACATTGCCAGGAGATATCCCCATTCAACCTTCTCCGGGCACTATGCCCTCGGGGTACGGCCCGTTTGGACTAGCCCCTCATTGTAACAGTGTGTGTGTGTGATTTTAAAGGATATAGAATTGTGTCTTTTTAAGTGAGAGAAAAACACAAACAATAAAAATCATGAGAGGAGGAAATGAATGATTTTTTTTAATTTAAATTTTAAATAAAAAATATTAATTTATATATTTTTCTCATTTAAAATAACCTATTTTATTTCCTAGACATTTTTCTGGTTGTGCATATCTTGGCTGTATCTCTACGTTTTTTAGCAGAAATCACTCAGAATCAAATACTTACTACGTTAAGATACACGACGGGATCCAAATCCAATCAGCATCCCATTTCCGTTCCCTATTTGTGACAACTTCGGTCACTTTTTCCCATTATTTCAGTTTAAACACGTTATGGTTGATCAAGATATATGAACAACGTGTCAATCTCTTCTTTAATTTTACTCTATTCTCCGTGACAAGGGAACGATCCGTTTACAAATTTTTTTTACAAATTACATTAAGTATGATCAATCATACACTCTTGATTGAAATATGACCGGTCATACTTAGTGTAGTTTATAAGAGTTAATAGACAAAAAATTTGTAAATATAACATTTCTATATAATCTTAACTAAATTGGTCTATAGACCTTTGTAGTTAGATTGTCTTTTTTATTTAAATTTGAGAAAAATCTTAAATGGGTGTTTGGTTTAAGTTATTGAAAAATTTTGCTATGCATCTGACTCTGGTCTTTTGGGAGGACCATGTTTGATTCAAGATATTGAATAATTTCTCCATCTAATATATTTCTCTAGCTTTTGAAAAATGGGAAGTACATGAGATAAAAAGCATTGTTTAGAAGACCATTTCTAAGATGATATTTTGCACTTAGATGGGTAAATAGCAAGACTTCCACTGAAAAGACAAAAAAAGACACGGTCAGAAAATTTTTAGTATTATTAACCGATTTTCATAAAGTATGATAAAGGGTTATTTTAGTATTTTTAACTGATCTTTCCATCAATATTTTACCTTCAATTAAATATACATTCAAAAAATTTAATCCAATTTTTTCGATAATATTTTGACGTATCAAACAATTTTTTTTAAATTTTTTTACCAAAATCACTTTCTTACCATATTCCTATTAATTCTATTTTTCTGGTAAAAAAACATTTTCTCATGAACCAAACGCGACCAAATGATTTGACTTGCTAATAAATGTCCATCCATTAATTTCTCTCGGTCAAAGTTAAATATAGTTTTTTACCGAACACAATGTCTTTCCTTTTTCTTTTTCTTTTTTGTTATTGTTGCATCATGATATGAAAAATATTCTATAACAAGGACTTATAAACTTAAAATTATCAATTCAAAATTAAATTTTACCAATTGTCATTAATTTTTGTCTAATACTGCCTGTCTTTTTCACTTTGTACCTTTCTTTATGCCTTATACTACAAATTCGTGTTTACAGAAATTATTAGATAAGTCCTTATCCCATTAGTTTCATCAATGCATCAATTTTTGTGAAAAATATAGTTGTAGTCATATAATTTCCTATTCATATTATAAAGGAACAAGTTGACAGTTCAGCATAGCTCATAAATACCGGTTTATTATATTCTATAATTTCTGAAAGAGTATATCCTAATTGGCTAATTCTATATCTTATTAGGAGTTACCGTTTGTGTGGTACCGTGCTGCAAAAGAAAGTGACGAGTCTACACCAACAGGTCGTGAGTTAGTTCCTACCAAGCTTGCTGAAGCTGTTTGGGACATGGTTTCTAAATATAAATCTACTATTCCCAACTTCCCACAAAGTGAAACTTGTGACCTGCTCATTGTTGATAGATCCATAGATCAGGTTGAAAATATTCCTCTTCATTATGAATCTTTTCCTTTTATATCTCACCTTTCGATAAATGTGTTGAACCTGGATCGCAGATTGCTCCTGTCATTCATGAGTGGACCTATGATGCTATGTGCCATGATTTGTTGAATATGGATGGAAATAAATATATGCATGAGGTATGACCTTCTTTTCGTCTCCCCTCCCACTTCATCTTGTAGAAAGGTTTTGCATTTTCCTGCTTCTGATTTTGAGATAACAATCAATTTAGGTTCCCAGCAAAACAGGGGGTCAACCTGAGATGAAGGAGGTCGTTCTAGAAGACCATGATTCAGTCTGGCTTGAACTTCGCCATACACATATAGCAGATGTACATCTCATTCTCTCTGTTATCAGCTCACATTTCATATATTTGAAATGAAATCTCAATGCTCTTTTACCAACTCAAATACCAGGCTAGTGAAAGACTACATGAAAAGTTTACCAACTTCGTATCAAAGAACAAAGCGGCACAAATCCAACAAAGTGGAAGGTTTGCACCGGCACCTTTCTCCTTACTTTATGAAAAATGTTGGCCATTTCGTGAAATGCCAGTCCAGATTAAGGTCCTAGTTTTCACTGTATTGTCATCATTCATTTTACCTAGTCTTCAATTTCCATGCTTTTAAACCTTAACTTTTTGTGTTAAATCATTTTATTGTGATGATTATATAATGAGACTTAGAATATTATAAATCTGGAAGTATGAATGTTCTGATAATAATATAGATAATTACGAATGTTACTGAAACAGCTCCTGATAGTTAAATAGTACTTCAGTGTAGAAGTCAATAATACACTAATAGTAGGGCGGTGAAAGGAGAATGGATTTGCGAGAAACACGACACGGAAGGAAGGGCTGTGAACCGAGGTGGAAGAATGGTCATTCGCGAAAAAAAATTCAAAACAGGGAAGTTGTTTTACTGAGTATGCGCGGTTTTTGAGGTTACATCTTGTTGGGAACTAGGTTCCCTCAAGCTCGGCTAAGCAGCCTTTGTGCGGAAGTCAATCAATAAGATCCTGATCTCGGATCTCAGCAATTCCTCGGCCTGAACTTCATCAGGTCAGGCTGCGCAGCGAAAATATCAAAAAGAAAAGAAAGATCACAAAACAGGAGAGAGAAGCAGAACACAACCAGATTTAACGTGGGAAAACCTTCTTGAATGAAGAAGTAAAAACCCACGGGACCTAGTCCAGATCAGAAATCCACTATGAAAATAATGGTTACAAATAATCAAATACACCAATGTGGTGGTTAACTCAACCTCTCCAACAATGGTGATAATCAAACTACCCTAGAGATGTTTCACTCAAACTCTCTCTAGAGATCTCTCAAATGCAAAACATAAAGCTTTACTCAAACAATCAAATAATTTTTCTCTCAAATTTGTTCTCTCGAATCTGACCTAGCATCCACCCTCAACTAATGAGTATATATAGAGGAGGTGGAAATTAGGGTTAGGATTTTTAGGAAACCCCTCAAATGGGCTTGGGCTTAGCATTGAAGGAGGCAGCCCAACAAATCTCCCCCTCCGACTTCAATGCGTCGGCTTCACCATCAACCCGGCTCCTTCACAGCAGTCTTCAAATTTCCTTGTTGGAACCGGCTTTGTCATCATGTCGTACCAATTTTGGTCAGTGTGCACCTTGACGAGTTCGAGCTCACCACCTTCCACCACATCCCGGATCCAATGATACCTCACATCAATATGCTTAGTGCGGGAGTGATAGGTTGAATTCTTCGCAAGATGGATTGCGCTTTGATTGTCACAACCCAACTCGTACTTGTCTTGATCATGGCCGAGTTCCATGAGGAACTTCTTCATCCACAACATCTATTTGCTTGCCTCAGTAGCGGCAATGTACTCAGCCTCAGTTGTCGATAGTGCAACACATTTCTGAAGTCTTGATTGCCAAGAGACAGCTCCTCCGGCAAATCTCATCAAATATCCTGTAGTCGACTTCCTCAAGTCGGCATCTCCCCCTAAATCAGAATCCGAGTAGCCTTGCAACTCGGCTTTGCCTTCACCAAATCGGAGACATAAGTCGGTCGTACCTCGGAGGTACTTGAAGATCCACTTCACTGCTTCCCAGTGCTCTTTGCCGGGGTTTGACAAATACCGGCTTACCATTCCAACAGCATACGCCAAGTCGGGTCTAGTGCAAACCATTGCATACATCAAGCTTCCGACGGCGGATTGGTAAGGGACCTTCATCATCTCATCTTTGTCTTCATCAGATCTCGGACATTGCTTCAGGTTCAGCTTTATGTTTCCGGCTAGGGGGTGCTCACTGTTTTGGCTTTGTCCATGCTAAATCTCTTCAAAATCTTCTCAATATATTTCTCTTAATTCAGCCACAGTAGCTTCTTCTGTCTATCTCGGATGATCTTGATTCCGAGAATCTGCTTTGCAGGGCCGAGGTCCTTCATTGCGAAGGACGAGCTCAACGCCTTTTTCAGGGCTGTTATCCTCGATTTGTCTTTCCATACAATAAGCATGTCGTCAACATATAACAACAAAATCAGAAAATCTCCAGCCTCATACCTCTTCACAAATACGCAGTGGTCGGCTTCAGTCTTCTCAAACTTATGATCAGTCATGAATGATTCAAATTTCTTGTACCACTGCCGAGGTGCTTGCTTCAAGCCATAGAGGCTCTTCTTCAACCGACATACCAAGTCTTCTTGGTCTGGAGCTTGGAACCCTTCTGGTTGCTCCATATATATCTCTTCTTCCAAATCACCGTGAAGAAATGCCGTCTTCACGTCCATTTGTTCTACCTCGAGGTCCATTGAAACCGCCATGGCTAGCATGGTTCGGACCGAGGTCATTTTCACCACAGGAGAAAAAATCTCCTCAAAATCAACTCCTTTCTTCTGATTGCAGCCTTTCACTACAATTCGGGCTTTGTATCTCGGCTTTTGCCCGTTCTCTTCATTCTTAATCTTGTAGACCCATTTATTCTTCAAAGCTCGTCTTCCTTTAGGCAACTCGGTCAGCTCATTAGTCTGATTCTCGTGCAGAGACTTCATCTCGTCTCGCATTGCCTTTTTCCATTCTTCTTTCTCTGAGCTCGTTACAGCCTCATCATAACTCTGAGGCTCACCGTCTTCAGCAACAACGGTGTATTCATCAGATGGGTATCTTGTAGAGGGTCTTCTTTCTCGAGTTGGATATCTCGGCTGTTCTTCAGCTTGAGAACCCGGTTCATCAATTTCATCCCGGATCTCATCATCAACTCGGACCTCAGTGTCTTGGTCATCTTCAGCTTGTTGCTGATCATCATTTTCTTGATTGTCTCCCCCTGCTTCAACTCGGACAGGAGGGATGGGTTCTTCACGTCTGACAGTAACCCGGACTTTGGGCTTCGAGATGTCATGAATGTTCTCATGCTCATGAAAGATCACATCTCGGCTTCTCACTATCTTCTTATTGATTGGATCCCAAAGTCGGAACTCGAACTCACATCTCGGCGAACCAAGATAAATGCATTCTTTGGTCTTTGCATCAAGTTTAGCCCTTTCATCTTTAGGGATATGCACGAAAACTCGGCATCCAAACACTTTCAATTGATTATAGGCCGCTTTCCGACCTGTCCAGACTTCTTCTGGAATTTCTCCTTCAAGTGGCCGTGATGGTGAGAGGTTGATCAAGCCAACAGCAGTTTTGACAGCTTCTCCCCAGAATGATTTCGGTAATCCGGCATTAGATAACATGCTGCGAACCTTCTCTTCAATAGTTCTGTTCATCCGCGCAGCCAGTCCATTCAGCTGAGGTGTCTTGGGGGGCGTCTTCTCAAGTCGAATCCCGGCCGTTCTGCAGTATGCATCAAATGGGCCGCAATACTCACCACCATTATCAGATCGGACCACCTTCAATTTCTTGTCAGTCTCCCTTTCAACCATAGCATGGAATTCTTTAAATGATTGGAGTACCTGGTCTTTAGACTTCAACAAATACACCCATACTTTGCGGGAATGGTCATCAATAAATGAAACAAAGTACTGAGCTCCTCCAAGGGATCTTTCCGACATGGAGCAGACATCAGTATGGACGAGGTCAAGAATATACCTGCGTCGTCTAGGTTGATCCGGTCTCACAAAAGAAACTCGGTGCTGCTTTCCAGCTAGGCAGTGCGTGCAACTCTCCAACGCTTGGCCTTTCAACCCGGTCAATAATCCTTTCTTGTTCAGGATCTCTAGCCCTTTCTCGCTCATGTGGCCGAGGCGCTTGTGCCATAGCTCCAAGCTAGGTTCATCTCGGACAAAATTGACTTCTCCGCCATTGATCTTTCCTTGCATCACGTACAAGGAGCCTTCCTTCTTACCTCGGGCCACGACCAAGTTTCCCTTGGCCAGCTTCCATCTCACACTACCGAAGTAGTTCACTAACCCGGCATCATCAAGTTTTCCTACCGAGATTAGGTTCAAACGCATGTCAGGAACATGCCTCACATCTTTCAACACAAGTCGGCATCCGACATCCGTGGTCAGAGTTACATCACCGACACCAACAATCTTGCTGGTCACTTGATTTCCCATCTTCACGACTCCGAAATCACCACCTCGATAAGAGGAGAAAAAACCTTTGTGTGGAGTAACGTGGAAGGAGGCACCGGAGTCAACAATCCAGGTGCAGTCATCATATGCAACATTCAAATAATTATCCTCTCCAAGGAGGAATATCTCGGCATCAGGGTTTGCAGCCACCGCAGTGGTGTTCTTGTCTTCCCTCTTCTTAGGAATAATCTGATCCGGCTTCACAGAGCCGTTCTTCTCATCATTCTGTAGGGTCCAGCAGTCTGGCTTATTATGGCCTGTCTTTCCACAGTAAAAGCACTTCAACTCATATTTCGGCTTTGACCGACCTCTGAACTTGTCTCGTCTGTCACGATCTCTACCTCGGCTTTTGCTTCTACCGCGGGAGTCTGATTTCCCTTTGTTCTCAGCAACGTTGGCCTCAGATGTACTCGAAGTACCTCGTTCTCTTCTCCTGGATTCTTCGCCCAGGAGGCTGTCTGTCACGACATCCATCTTCAATTTTCCATCTGGAGTCGAGTTATTCAGGGTCACCACCAGAGTATCTCAGCTTTCTGGCAGCGAGCTCAACAGCAGCAATGCCTGCAATTCTTCATCAATTTTCATATCAGCCTTTGACAGCTGATTCACAATACCTTTGTAGGTGTTCAGGTGTTCAATCATGCTCATGCCGTCCTTGTATTCAAGCTTAACAAGTCAGCGAACCGGGTGTGCTTTGTTCCTGGGAGTCTTCTTCTGAATCATGGACTCCAGCTTCGTCCACAACTCATACGCGTTCGTGAATTCGGACACGTGCTCAAAGAGGCTTTTATCAATATATTTCCTGATCGTGGCTACCGCCTTCCGACTCAGGATCTCCCACTCCTTATCAGTTTTGTCTGCCGGTCTCTCATCAAGGATAATGGGCTCATGTAAATCTTTGCAGTAGAGATGATCTTCCATCATCGGTCTCCAATAAGTGAAGTTGTCTGCGGTCAACTTGAACATATCTCCATCATGAGTTATGCCACTGGTCTCCATCTCGTCTCCCTCAGAACCCGTCGAACTCGGGCTCTGATACCACTGTTGGGAACTCGGTTCCCTCAAGCTCGGCTAAGCAGCCTTTGTGCGGAAGTCAATCAACAAGATCCTGATCTCGGATCTCAGCAATTCCTCGGCCTGAACTTCACCAGGTCAGGCAGCGCAGCGGAAATATCAAAAAGAAAAATCACAAAACAGGAGAGAGAGAGAGAGAGAGAGAGAGAGAGAGAGAGAGAGAGAGAGAGAGAAGAAGAACACAACCAGATTTAACGTGGGAAAACCTTCTTGAATGAAGAAGTAAAAACCCACGGGACCTAGTTCAGATCAGAAATCCACTATGAAAATAATGGTTACAAATAATCAAATACACCAATGTGGTGGTTAACTCAACCTCTCCAACAATGGTGATAATCAAACTACCCTAGAGGTGTTTCTCTCAAACTCTCTCTAGAGATCTCTCAAATGCAAAGCATAAAGCTTTACTCAAACAATCAAATAATTTTTCTCTCAAATTTGTTCTCTCAAATCTGACCTAGCCTCCACCCTCAACTAATGAGTATATATAGAGGAGGTGGAAATTAGGGTTTGGGTTTTAGGAAACCTCTCAAATGGGCTTGGGCTTAGCATTGAAGGAGGCAGCCCAACGGCTACCGTGCTGAGAAAGAGAAAAACATGCTGAAAAGCTTGTTGTATGCACAATACGGACAACTGAACGCATATTAATATAATAATGAGTACACAGGTCCGAATTTCCCTAATTAATGGAATACAATGAACTTCAACCTAACTAATCACATGTCCAATTGAGACTAAAGCAATCTAGATTAATTACTTATCCGACAGGAAGATTTATAAAACCTCCCAAGCCTTCTCCTAATCGTTTACATATATTGTTTCACTTTCCTCCTACCATGTGCACTTAGTTTGACTGTACACCTTTGAACATGGTTCAATTGTCATGTACTTCAACTTGTAAATTTAATTCTCAGCAGAGATGGTAGTGAATTATCTACAAGAGATTTGCAAAAAATGGTTCAAGCTTTGCCCCAATACACTGAGCAAGTGGAAAAGATTTCACTCCATGTAGAGGTGATTTAATTTTTTCCCCTCTTACTTTCATTGTCTTTTTTATTTTCTTTATCGTTGTCAAGGAAGAGTATTTGGTTGCAGCTTAAGAATGACATACTTTTTGAGAACTCATGCTGACCTTAGACACACGCAAAGAGCTGTGATATACGATTCTTTCAAGCTGATAAGGGTCACAACGAAAGAAATATATTTATATGGTGACCATTTTGATTGATTAATTCAATGCAGATCGCAGGAAAAATCAACAAAATTATCAGAGAAACAGAACTTCGAGAGCTTGGACAGTTGGAGCAAGATCTTGTTTTTGGGGATGCTGGAGCCAAGGACGTTATTAGCTTTTTAAGAACAAAGCAGGTTTTGTACTGAAGATATTTGTCTGAATAGTCAATATCATTTGCTTTTCAAGACACAATGTACACTTTCTTTTACTAAAAGTTTTGTGCCACATGCAGAACACAACTCCTGAATATAAGTTGCGTTTGTTGATGATTTATGCATCTGTCTATCCTGAAAAGTTTGAGGGGGATAAAGCTACAAAGCTATTGCAGGTCATTACCAATTCTTAATACTCCTTATTACACTTAAGAATATAATTTGCTAATAAGCCTTATCTACGTTCGTTTTGTAACTCCAAAAATTTGTAAAATAAGATTTTCAGTGTTGTGATCAGATTCGTATTCTTTTGAACGTTAGTAGGTAAAATTGACAGAATTGAACTTTTGTTACTGTGCCTAACTTTGACTTGCTTTATGTTCTTGTCTCATTTTTCTGAAGTTAGTAAACGTTCTTTGGGCATATGACTTTGGCTCGCTTTATTTATAACTTGCTCCTTCGTAAATCTAGATGAGGTCTCTCACAGGAAATAGGTTGCCTGTCATATTACTCGACATGTTTGATTTCTGAGGTCCAATCTGATTTTCCAAGCATGCAACGCCTATCAACTATTGCAATAATATTTATAATTCAAAGTAAAAGGAATTCACCATAATCAAGAATTATAGATTTTTGTACTAGAAACGTGTATATTATTTTATAGCAGTGCCTAAGGAAAGTGTTTATATTTATGCTTTGTGTTTCTAATCAGTTGGCAAAACTATCACCTGATGACATGAAAGTTATCAGTAATATGCAACTGCTGGCAGGATCATCAAACAAGAAGTCATCTGCTGGTGCTTTCTCACTCAAGTTCAGTACGCAGAAGGTAAACATATATGGGTAATACTTTTATTACGTTGCATTTATCTCCTACACTCACATTTTTCAAATGGGTCTCATAAGAATTTTTTTCTCACCTCCAACTTTTTTCTATCTCCTATTTATTGTGAGAGTAGGAGATAATACTTCTTTTATGCAATATAAGAAAAGTATTACCCAACATAAATAGGTTCATCTAATCTCATGTTGCATGAGATAAGATCTCTTATGTTATAGACACACGTGTGATGAGATCCACCATTTAAAAAAAAAGAAAAAAAGAAAAAAGAATATCACGGGTTTTCGATGAGTGTATTGGAGATAAAACTATTCTTATGTTGCATAAGAGTAGTTTTTCCAAACATATATATCCATTTCATGCTAAGTCAGAAAGAGGAAATATGTCAAGTACGGAGTTCAAAAAATATATATCTGCAATTAAAATAAAAATATTTGAATTGTGGATTCTTTTTCGTTAAGGATTTTAAATATTTTAGGCTGAGGGTGGATATTGCATTACAAATTGTTCTCTTGCATGCCCTTGTGTGTTAACTTTTCTTTCACACCAAATTATCTATAAGAAGTTTGTTTTTTTCTTGCATAGACAAAGCAAGCAGCACGCAAAGATCGTACTGAAGAGGAAGAAACATGGCAACTATTTCGATTTTATCCCATGATAGAGGTACGACTAAAGATCATGCAAGCCTTGCATTGCCAGATTTGTTGCGTAAAACATGCGACCTACGATGACTTGATTTTTTCGTTTTTTAATTTCTTTTGGGAAGGGGTTAAAGTAAGAAATTGATCTCCCATTCACTCGATTTTTTAGATAGAAAAAAAGCAAAAAGACAATCAAAGAAAATTAATCTGCCTAATTTCCTGAGTTAGTAAAACGTGCCCACTCCAAATACTTTACATGTTTAATTTAGTTCTAGGTGCCATTGATTTGCTAATAAAAAAAATGAATGATACAGCACACAAAATAATATACTATGTTTAATTGTTTCAAATAATATAAATATTGGATAAAAGGCATCTGCATGAGAACGCCAATCTTTAAATTTGTTACTCATTAAACCAGGTTATAAAATCATGTCCGCCACAGGAAAAGATAAAAAAAGACAAATAATCCTTATCTCTTCATTATTTGAGCTCTATTGCATGTAAAATAATGCATAACACAGAAGGCATTATAATAAATTTTTCCTAATTCAATTCATAAATATCACAATTTTTAGTCTCGCGCATTGATCATTAAACAGCTAAAAATATATAAAAAAAAATTGTACTGTGACTCAATCACTTACATTGTACTGTTCTATTTGTAATGTCCCTCAATATATATCAAACACAATCTTAGTTAGATTTCAAAAGTTATATCTTATAAGAGATTTTTCCATATTATCAAATGTCATAATTAATTATCTTGCTCTCATATTGTTCTTTTTGTCATATGGTGGCATTTACCCACTGATAGCCCATAGATGCCGAGGAAAATTTCACTCTAAATTATTGAGTTGATGTTATCATTGTATGGGGTGTTGTTGGTTGGTAGCCAGTCCCTGGGATATGTTCAATACATCTTTATGGCTTATTTTTTATTTGTAAAGATGGATCCTAAATTTAGTTGCAATATGTAGAAATTTTATAGACAGAGATCTTATGTATGCTGTTTTCAGAAAGGTCACAAATTCAAACTCGGGAAGTAGTCTCTTTCCTACGAGGATTGTCCTCATCTTTATCTAGGAGTTTAATGGAGAGTAATTCATTTCTCTCTGTCATAAGTAAAACTCTATCAGTAGAGTGAATTGGGGGCAACAAGTTGATATAATGTGTTAAAAGGCACAGTGAAAAGGTTATATAATCTAACCTACAGCTAAAAGTAATTAACTGGGGCCTTTCGTTTTCCTTTAATCAAAGAAAAAATAAATGGAAGGAATGCTTTCCTTTTAAACAAGGGTCAGAGGCCATTTCCTTCATTAAAGTTCTACCTTGGGCTTATTTTCATGTTGTAGTTGTGTGAGAATGAGTTAAACTTACGAATTAGGCCAGTGCATGGGAAATCTTTTTGTTTGCTTAAACATAGCAAGACTAGTTTCAATTATTCTTTGTCGTAGTATTGTATATAATCAAATGTAAAAATATAGATGGCATTTTGTTTGTCAGGAGCTCATTGAAAATCTCAGTAAAGGTGAATTGCCAAAGAATGAATATTCGTGTAAAAATGAACCAAGTCGTACTGCCCCAGAGGGCTCTGCTAGAAGCACCCAACGCACCCAGACAGCTCCAACAACTGCTCCTCATTCGATGAGATCTAGGCGGACAGCAAACTGGGCACGGTCTCGTACTTCGGATGATGGATATTCAAGGTAACATGAACCATTACCTCAACTGAAATTTGTTTCTTTACTGGAGACGAATTGCGCTTTGAAATGGATGGAGTTTTTTTTTTTTTTCTTTTTTTTGCGGGGGGTAAAGAAATGGATAGAATTTTAACCCTGAACTCATAGTTTTTCCCACCTTCAACAGTGACTCCACGTTGAAGAACGTTTCTACTGATTTCAAGAAGATGGGAAAGCGAGTCTTTGTGTTTGTTATTGGTGGGGCTACTCGATCTGAGGTAGTATATGATCAAGAACTTTTGTGAACATGTTTGGGATTTTGAAATTGTAATATCAACCAATGCTATTATTTTGCTATTTTCAGCTTCGAGTTTGTCACAAAATGACAACAAAACTAAAGAGGGAAGTAATCCTAGGCACTACTTCCATGGATGATCCTCCACAATATCTAACGGTAATATGTCCTTCTTAATCATTTGTAGATCATCATCTAAGGTGTTTTATGTTATTGAAGGTTTCTTTTTTCAAATAAAGAAGTGAAATATATTTTATGAATTAAGTACATTCATTTGAACTGCTATGGGTGGTTAGACAGTGACACTGTTCTCGTTCTCTGGTCTCTGGTTTCTATCCCCTTTCAATTGGCATTCTATTTTGGCGTTTGAGTTTCTCTTTTTCTTTTTTTCACATGAAAACTAAACATCATGTTAATTAACCACGATGAGCTATTTAGAACATTCGCAATGCATTATAGAGAACAAGAACAATATAGAGCGAAATATAGATGGAAGAAAATTAAAACAGATATTTAAGAGACATTTTCAACAAAATATATATTTGAAAGAAAATATTGTAACAAGAAGCATGGCTAGCTACAAATACATCAGGTCGATCACTTACATTGCTTTTGTAGCATATAGAATTTAAATTTATACCTAGAAAATAGCATTCTAAAAATCAATCACTGAGAAGCTTTGGGCAAGAAGGAGGAGGATAGTTGGATGTCTCTCTGCGAACCATAAGAAAAAAAATAACATGTAAATCATTATAAGCAGAGATTTTTGGGCAGGAAAAAAGAGTTTGATTGAAGTAGCTGCTGCTATTTATTTAGTTTCTCTTATTATTTGATTTTCATTTTTCTGATTTCTGCAGAAATTGAAGTCATTGTGCGACAACAATATTGCAACGAGTCTGAATGGTCTCGGGATATAAATTGTTTCTGAAGACTGCTCACTGCCAGCAGGTTGGATATCCCTTTTATAAATTGCTTAGACATTAGAAATTTATGCCCTCTTGACAAGGGATGAACACAGGGCCCCCTTCAATTTTCGTTTTACTCAAATTTTGTCATGTCCAGTCTCGGTATTACGTTTAAACGCTACACCTCCCTCCTTATATACTGAGGAGATTTGGTATAAGCTATTAGAGGATATGTACGTATTATTCATGTCGACATCGGGTGAAAGAAGGATACCTAGATTAGAATATAAATTATATATTTTAATATTTACGTCTTCCATATTCTCCCCTATTTTTAACTTTTTAAGTATATTTTGCAAAATACACATCAACAGAAATAAAGTTCAATTTTTATAGTTGACTTTATAGTTTATGGTCTTAGAATGTTAAGGATTATTTAAAGAATTTTGGTTGAGTTGAGAAGCCATTGACCTTATTTGGTTTCTAGAGTTCCGTCTCTTATTATATGTATGAAGTTAATGTAAATATTCTTTTGTTGCAATCATAGTTATTAAAACCGAACCGACCCGGCTGGGTCGATCCGAAAACTGGTAAACTAGTTATATAACTGGTCCGGTTGAAGTAACAGACCGGTCATGCATTAGAACCGGTGCGACCCGGCCGGTTTTCATAAAAAATCGATAACTCGGTCGGTTAACCGGTGACCCGGCCCAGTCCCAAAAAAAAAATCCAAATTTTTGTTTTTTTCAAAAAAAATCATAATAGTCATATTTGAATATTTTTTTGCTTATTGACTTACATAAGTTATATACCTACAACACTAATATTATCTCAATTATGTGCTATGCATAAAATTTTGAATTAATTTATAGTTAGAGATGTCATTTTCCAAACGTAAAGCTCCGTATCACGATCATTATATTTTTGTTTGATTTTTTATTTAATAATAATATGTGATTTATTATTTTTTGTATTAAAATATTTGAAATTTTTATCTTTTTTTTAGATATTTGAGTATGTTTATAATTTTTTAATATAAATTATAAAATTACATATAATTACCGGGTCATGCGGTTGAACCAGTAACCCATTGATTAAACCAGTGACCTCATACCTCAATCGGATCAATGATCGGACCGGTTTTAATAATATTGGTTGCAACTAAATTAGTATAAATACTAACCACAAGGGCAAATAATTCCTCACTTCATATTTTCATGCCCGATGGAGCTGTTAGAGCCACGGTTACTACACGATCCCATGCCACCCTGACAAATTTCAAAGATTCATCTTGAAATCTTTAATAATATCTTAACCAGTTTCCAATATATATATATATATATATATATATATATATATATATATATATGGGATAGGATCAACTTACACCGGTGTAAGAATAATAAATCTTACACCAAATCTTAACCGTTGATTTCCGTGCATCCAATGGTTGAGATTTATTGGGAATTAAAAATTAATTAATGAGTGAGACCTAATAAATCTTAACCGTTAGATGTAGAAAATCAATGATTAAGATTTGGTGTAAGATTTATTATTCTTACACCGGTGTAAGATGATCCTACCCCTATATATATATATATATATATATATATATATATATATATATATATATATATATATATATATATGTTTTATAATTCTCATTTAACATGAGAATTCAAACTTTCCTACACATGCTTCGATTTCCGTGCTAACATGGGTCTTACATATAATTTTTTCTAACACATGGGTCTCACATGCTTTTTATCTCTATAACATGAGAATTGAATTCACATTTAACATGAGAAAATCAAACCCATATATATATATATATATATATATATATATATATATATATATATGAGGTAGGATTCTTTGACACCAGTGAAATTTGACACCTCATCTGAGAGCCGTTAGATCAAAAAAGATCAATGGTGTCACATGCTTGCAAATCAGAGCCGTTGATCTTTTCTGATCTAACGACTCTCAGATGAGGTGTCAAATTTGAAATTTGACACTGATATTAAAAGATTGAACCACTAAATGAAACTTGAAAAGAATAATAGAAAATCAGAGTTCCAATTGGGGTTAGCACTTTTGATGTCCTAAAAGACAATGGAAATAAATTTTTTACTGAAAGTTATCCGTATATTGAAAATGGAAAGCGGAAATTTAGTTGGATACTTCCTCGGATCTATGTTATTCTTCTGAGCTAATGCAATTGTCAATTTTCCAAGTAGTTTACACTTTAAAACATCAAGCATGAATATTATAATATGTAGATAATATTTAGCTACAACCTGTGTTGAAGAAAATAGAGTAAAATTAATAGAACCCGTGAAAAAATAAAACCATGAGTAAACTACACTAACCCAAAAAGAAAAAATATAATAAAATAAAGTTAGGGTTATGTGGTAATTGTAGCATGTTTTAGATATAACATTTTGCATTGAAGAAAATAAGGATGTGCAAAATAATCAAAAAAACTAAACCAAAATGAACTGCACTTAAAACAACTGAATTTCAAAATCCAGCTCATGAACCAAACCGAACTGATTCTTAAAATCAATTTAAGAATTGAACTGTTTTCGAACCGAACCGAATCGTTTTTATTACTCTATTTCTTTAATTTTTTAATCTTTTTTCTCTTTTCTTTTCTTTTCAAATAGGGTTGACCCAAACCGGTTCTGAACCGAACCGTTTAAACCAATTCGATTTGGTTTTTCAAAAAATTCAGTTCAATTCGACCAATGCACACCCTTAGAAGAAAACATAGTAAGACGGTATCAAGTAAAATTTAGACAATAATTAACTTTAGGTGCTCGATGATAATTCCAACACTTTTATCTAACCTATTGTATTGAATGAAAGAGTCAAAACAGAGCCCATATAAAAACACTCATCAGGTAGTTCAGACAGACAAATAAAATGTGATGGCAATTTAAGCAATTTCATATACAATCTAAATGTGAAGGGAAGGAAACAGGGTAAGGAAGCAGATCATGAGGGGAGAAAGTGTTCTATACCCATAAGGCTCGTGGGTCAAGGGACTCCAAAGTGTTGGGCTATTACAGGATGGATAATAGAGGTAATCGGGGAAGCCAGTAGAAGCCTCGTGTGTTTCTGACATTTTTTTGCATCTTTTGACGTGCTTTTTTGCATCTGCTTCCATGGTCGGCCAGTAATATCCAGCTTGGAGTGTTTTTTAGGCTAACGCCCTTGTTCCCATATGCTGACCGTTGATCCCGTTATGGACCTCAGCCAAAACATACTCATCTCCTTCTATGTTTAAACACTTCAACATTGGAGAATAACGTCTTTTTCTGTACAATTGCCCTTCCACCACAGTGTACCAGGCTGCATTCCGAACCAGTTTCTTGGCTTCGACTAAAGCCTTAGGTAGTTCTCGCTTCTCTAAATAAGTAATTATAGGCCGCCTCCAATCTTCTTTAGCGGTGATTACCATAACGTCGTTCAGTTCCGGGATACTTTGCTGAATTACTGTCCTTTGATTATCTGGGTTTTTTATGCTTACTACAAGATGTTCGCTCTTCCATTTTCGTTTCTTGGGATGTAGTCGTTTCTTCAAATTTGGCCAACAAATCTATCACCTTGATCAAATTCTTGACCTTCAATGGCCCTTTACCTTGGTACTTACCATCCACATAAGAAGTGATGAGCTGTGAATAGCTGAAAACTTTGATTTTCTTGGCTTCGTGCTCCTTAGCCTGCAATAACCCAGCTATCTGTGCCTCATACTTAGCCTGATTGTTTGAGGTGGGGAAATTCAAATGGAGGGAATGCTCTACTGACACTCCTTCCGAGATCTCGATGATTATTCTGGCTCCATTTCCCTTGGTATTTGATGAGCCGTCGACGTAGATTTTCCATAAGCAAACCCTATTCCGGATTTCCTTTTGGGGTCTGGGTGAGTTCCATCACGAAGTTGGCCAAAGCTTGAGACTTAATGGCATACCGAGCTTCATAAGTGAGGTGAAATTCTGACTACTCGATTGCCCAATTTACCATTCGCCCTGTTAAATTCGACTTGTGAAGGACTTGTCAGATTGGCTGATTAGTTCTGACTATAATTGGATGCCCCTGGAAATACAGACAAAGTCTTCTTGCTGTGGTGAGTAAGGCAAAATCTACATTTTCCAGCTTTTGGTATATAAGCTCGGAACCTTGTAAAGCTCGATTGACGAAGTAAATTGGAGCTTACCTCTGCTCTATTTCTCATACTAACACTGCACTAACTGCTTCTTCCCCAACTACTAAGTATAAGACCAGGGTTTCTTTGGATTCTAGCTTAGAAAAGATCAGGGGTGTAGCCAGGTACTTATTTATCTCTTCAAATGCAGCTCCACACTCCTGATTCCAACCGTACTCTACTTCTTTCTCCAATAACTTAAAAAATGGGAGCGCCTTCTTCGCTGATCTCGGCAAGAACCTAGTAAAGGCAGCAAGTCATCCAGTTAGTTGTTGCACTTCCTTTTTATTCTTGGAGTTCTTCATTTCTAACATGGCCTTGTATTTATTTGGATTGGCCTTAATCCTTTTGTAGGGTTCAACCACATTTGGTGAGCTTTGAGTTTTGCAAAAATCTACGCTAAGTCTTCTACATGTGCCCCTATTTCCTCCGACTTCACAATCATATCATTGATGTAAACTTTTTTACCTATCTTGTCATTTCTTATATTATCGTTATTTATTCACATATCAACGATCCAACTGCAATCTATGTCATTGCGTAGGATGAGAAACTGTTTTAATTGATAATCATTGATATGTGAATGAATGACTATGATCTAAAATGTGACAAGGTCATGTCAAATTTTGATATAAGAGAATCCATGTGATTTGTAAATGTTAGAGAACAATCTAATTGCAAAATGTAATACCAATTAATGGTATATCTCTTTTTTTGTATAAGTATGAAAGAAAACAAGACAAAGCACTAACTACTTATAGGTTTGGGCTCTCCTACACCCATACAATCCTTTAAAAGAAAA